AAGCCAGGAGAATAAATAGGATGTTCTCCACGGAACCATCCAAAGTGTACTCTCACTGGCAAGATAACAACACGAGAATAGATCCACCCAGGGCTGAAACTGAACAGTACTGAAAGAGTATATGGGAGAAGGAAGCATGACATAACACCGATTCTCAGTGGCTAGTGGATCCAGTTACCATTACAACAGCAGACATCCAAGAAAGAGTGTCTGGAGAGCTGGACAGCACCAGGCCAGCACCAGGCCTTGGCAGCACAAATGAACCAGCTGCTGATGGATGGGATCCATCCACAGTGGCTGTACCAAGGACAGACAATTCTGATCATCAAGGATCCCCAGAAGGGCACAGTCCCATCCAACTATCGGCCAATAACCTGCCTCTGTACAACATGGAAGCTCCTGTCAGGCATCATAGCAGGTAAGCTGAATAGGCACATGGCCAAATACATGAGCAAGGCCAAGAAAGGAATCAGCAGTAATACCAGGGGAGCCAAGCACCAGCTACTGGTCAATAGAGCAGTCACCCAAGACTGCAAGACCAGGCAGACCAACCTGTGCACAGCCTGGATCGACTACAAAAAAGCCTACGACCTAATGCCACACACGTGGATACTGGAATGCTTGGAAATGTACAACATCAACAGGACACTAAGAGCCTTCATCAAGATCCCACTGGGGGTGTGGAAAACAACTCTGGAGGCCAATTCAAAGCCAATTGCACAAGTTATCATCAAGTGCTGCATTTACCAAGGTGATGCACTGTCCTTGATACTGTTCTGCATTGGTCTGAACCCCTACAGCCAACTCATGACAAAGAGTGGGTATGGATGCCGGTTCGCCACTGTCCAGGACAAAACAACCAAGATCCAGGAATATTTCAGGGAGATGGCCCCCAAAGATGAGCTGCTAAGTGAATACCTCAGGCACCAGAAACCCGAGAATGCAGAAGAGGAGGATGAACCATCATGGAAGGACAAGCCCCTGCACGGCATGTACCACCAACAGATTGAAGAAGTGGCTGACATCAAGAAATCCTATCATGGCTGGAAAAGGCTGAACTGAAAGACAGCACAGAAGCACAATCTAGTTCGAGATCAATAGAAGCTGGGCCTACCAAACCAGAGTGGACCCTGGGTGCAGGCTGTGCAAAGAGGCTCCTGAGACAGTCCAGCACATGCATAGCAAATGCAGTCAGGAACACCGTACATGGAGCTCCATATCCAAGTGGCTGGCATAGTGTACAGGAACATCTGCACTGAGTATGGGCTGGAAGTCCCAAGGTCAGAATGAAAGACACCTCCTAAGGTGTTTGAGAATGACCGAGCCAAGATCCTGTGGGACTTCCAGCTCCAGACTGACAAACTGGTGATGGCTAACCAACCAGACACCGTATTGATCGTCAAACAACAGAAGAAGACAGTGGCGATAGATGTAGCAATCCCGAGTGACAGTAACATCAGAAAGAAGGAACACAAGAGGCTTGAAAAATACCAAGGGCTGAAAGAGGAGCTAGAAAAGATGTGGGGAATAAAGGCAACAGTGATGCCAGTGGTAACTGGAGCACTCTGGGCTGTGGCCCACAAACTGTGAGAATGGCTCCAGCAGATTCCCAGTACAACATCTGAGGTCTCTGTCCAGCAGAGTGCAGTCCTAGGAACAGCTAAGATACTGCGCAGTATACAATTTTTATGGAGAAAAAGAAAAGAAGCATCATGCAAAAGTCTGGGCAACCCAAGAGATTTGACCTCTCAAACAACTCTCACCAGGGTCTCAGGCCTTAATTAGCTTGTTAAGGCTCTGGCATGTTCACAGTCATTATAAGGAAAGGCCAGGTGATGCAAATTTCAAAGCTTGATAAATATTCTGACAACTGAAAACTTTCAACAATCAGCAGCCATGGGCTCCTCTAAACAGCTGCCTAGCACTCTGAAAACTAAAATAATTGATGCCCACAAACCAGGAGGAAGCTATAGGAAGAAAACAAAGAGTTTTCAGGTAGGTGTTTCCTCATTTCGTAATGTAATTAAGAAATGGCAGTTAAGAGAAACTGTAGAGGATCATGTTGAGGTCTGGAGGATCAAGGAAACTCTCCGAGGGAGCTGCTCATAGGATTTCCAGAAAGGCAAATTAAAACCCCTGTTTGACTCCAAAAGACCTGCAGAAAGATTTAGCAGACTCTGGAGTGGTGGTGCACTGTTCTACTGTGCAGCGACATCTGCACAAATATGACCTTTATGGAAGAGTCATCAGAGGAAAACCTTTCCTGTGTCCTCACCACAAAATTTTGCATCAGAAGTTTGCAAAGGAACATCTAAACAAGCCTAATGCTTTTTGGAAACAAGTCCTGTGGACTGATGAAGTTAACACAAAACTTTTTGGATGCAATCAGCAAAGGTATATTTGGAGAAAAAAAATGGTGCAGAATTTCATGAAAAGAACACCTGTCCAATTGTTAAACACAGAGGTGGATCTATCATGCTTTGGGCTTGTGTTGCAGCCAGTGGCACGGGGAACATTTCACAGGTAGAGGGAAGAATGGATTCAATTAAATTCCAGCAAATTCTGTAAGCAAACATCACACCATCTGTAAAAAAGCTGAAGATGAAGAGAGGATGGCTTCTACAACAGGACAATGATCCTAAAGACACCTCGAAATCCACAATGGACTACCTCAAGAGGCACAAGCTGAAGGTTTTACCATGGCCCTCACAGTCCCCCGACCTAATCATTTAACATCTGTTGAAAGACCTCAAAAGAGCAGTGCATGCAAGAATCTCACAGAGCTAAAAAACCTTTTACAATGAAGAATGGCTGAAAATCCCCAAAACAAGAACTGAAAGCCTCTTTGCTGGATACAAAAAGTGTTTAGAAGCTGTGATAGTTGCCAAAGGTGGTGCTACTAAATACTGACTTTTGCTTCAGGCCCTTTTCCTTTTTTTGTTATTTTGAAACTGTGAAAGGTTGTAATTAAGAAGCAATCTTGTTTAAAATATTTAAGAAATAGGTCATCTTTAACTTCATGCCTTTCGGAAATCAGTTCATCTTCTACTTACTTATCCATACACAGTAAACCAAATTTTGACCAAGGGTGCCCAAACTTTTGCATGCAACTGTATATAGCCTACACTTATTTTTGACATGAACATATTAGCCCCTTTTTTAGCTTTACCTTGCTTTGTTTGACTTTGTTGTCCTTGTTTTTAACTGTTTGTCTATTTTTGCCTCTCTGTAAAATATTCTGCAAGTACATTGTGTGCAACTAAAAAGAAAGCTGAATCTGAAATACATGCACTGTAATATCTTAAACTAATTATTCAGCATTTTGTACATCTATTGTTTCTAACTGTAAACAAGACTAAAGGCCACTGCACACCAATGTGACTTTGGTTGCAGAGTCTACAGCAGCTCAGTGGCAATGCTTTGAGATAAATGCTAACACTAATTTTCAGTAGCAAATGTTACAGTGGCATTTTCAATTAGAAATAACAGATGCAAAACCAGAAGTTTAAACCATTTTACAGTTTAACATAATGTCTTATTTGACAATTGACTGGGCACATACGTGTTCTCCTGCTCCACTTGTCAATTCTGATTTTACCACGCTGTTCTGCTATTTTCATATTTGGTAATCCTCTCAGAAAGATGCTTGAAATCCTGAAAGTCTGTTTTTGTCCATCCTCCCAATAAAACTTCTCTGACAGGCTACCGCTGAGCATTTTTCCTCGGAAAACCACTCCACCTTTAATCTGATTTTTATTTATTTATGTAACAGGTTTGGTTTATAACAATGCTCGACGGCTGGTGAGTACAGAGGCCTTTAATCTCAGGCTTTTCTTCAGAAGACAGACTTTTACAGTCATGCTGTACAAGATAATCCACATGGTTCATGGTGACTGCAGTTTACTGTTGCTGCATTCACGTGGTTCTTGAAGGGTGCCATTTCAAAAATTGTGAAGTCGCTATTCCGACTTTGGTGCATTTGTGAGCTTTAAATGCTAACGTGGAAACAACACAGACACTATAAAGAAGATGTGTTGTATTTTACTGCTCAGAGCATTTAAACAACACTTTTTTAACAGTTTGAAGCTTTATATTACCAAACAATTTTGTCCCAGACGTGTTGCTGCACCAGTACATCTCCCAAAAATTCTAAAATATTGCTTCACCAGATTAATGTCAATAAACAGATTTCTAAACAGTCAACTCAGCAACTCCTGTACCAAAATTTTTGCGATTTTCCTGTTGTTGCTCCAACCTGAGGGAGCGTTCACATGAAATTTCCCAGTGGGGGACCCGTTTTTCCGATTATTCCAACACCACATGAATGCAGGGTTATTTTCCACTTAAAAAGAAATACTAATGGCTGACAACTACCAGTTGATCAGTTTGTAGTGGGACAACAGCCAATCAGTTTTTAGTATTCGTGTCCTCCTTGTCCCACACTCTGGGCACTTGAGTGTATCACAACCACAGCACTAAGCCAAGCACAGTTAAAACAGAATTTCAAGCTTTATATCCAGCTACTGGCCTGAAATTGTGAAATAATTAAACATAAAGTAACACATTTTAAGTCATGCATTCAAGCAATCAAGAATTATATTAATTTCTACTGTTGACCATGTTCACCATTTTTGTTCAGCATGCTAGCATGTGCTAATTAGGAGTTTAAAGTATGGGTGATTTCGATGAGAATGTAATTAATTTGGAAGTTAAATGACCATAAACCAAAGTATTGGACAAACTGAAATTTTGAACTGATGATGGTCCTAGATTAATAGTTAATTTTGCACTATCACTACTACTACTACTACTATTATTACAATTCATCCTGATGGGGGATGGGAATGTCTGTACCAAATGTCATGGCGATCCATTCAATAGTTTTACTAACTTTTCCTAAGAGAAATTTTGCTACAAAACAAAAATGTCATCCTCAGAAGGAAATCGATTAATCCATTCACGAGAGGGTTATTTATTTTTGCCAATAAAGAGAAACTTTGTCAATTAAATGTGTTTTATTTTCTTTATGTTAATATAGAAAAACAATCAGGACAAAAATCCTTCTTTTTAACACACATAGATGTTTTCACACCTTCAGGAAATAGGATCTACAGAATGTGTCATTTCCCATAGGAACCAGCACATTTACCCGTTTTTAAAGTGGAAATAGACATTATCTTATCATTGTAAAGGAAATGTTGTTATTGCACAGTGTAAGGGTATTCAATAATGACACCATCTAAGTTTAGATTGGTTCCCTGTGAGCCTTGTTGTCACTTCGCAATTCTGTCTGTCACCAGGTACAATCTCTTAGGAAAGTGAAGACCCGATTTACGGCACAAAGGAAGTGCGTCAACCATTGTGCAACCGAGACGGGAGGAAAAAGGCATTTTTATTTTCTCCAGAAGCTATTGGTAGCTATCAGTTACCAAAGACTATCATGTAAGTTTTATGCAATAACTATCCCCAGTGGTGGAAGTAGCGGACAGTGGAACAACCACAATAACTGCTGAAAACAAAATGCGGTGCGTCATGTGTTGCTGGTAGTTGCGAGGCTGTGTGGAAAATAGAAAGCCATCCAGTTTTCTTCGCAACAGTGGTGCCGACAATAACGCCACTTGCAAATGATAGGGGAGGGTAAAATTGGAAAGTCATCTGTTTCCACTTTAAAAATGCTTTTAAAAAATGATTTAAAGTTCTTATTTTGTGTCACTAGCCGACTGTTTTTTCTGTTTTACTGGTTGTATGATCTGTCTTGAGTAAAAATGTTTAGGTGCTATGTCTAAAAACATTAAATATTTTTCCAAAAATATACTTCTCTTTTGTTTTTTGTAAGTTTGATGTTATGAATATTTTGAGGAAAAGGCATTATGATAAGTGCTTCACTACAAACAAGATTGTCTAAAACTACTGTTGATCAGTATCACACTGTGTAATTCACATGGCAATTGAGTATTTATAAATTGCCTAATATAACATTGATATATTGGTAAGTCAAATACTGTATGTACGATAAACTGCCCCAGAGAGGAAGTTCCAATTTATTATTGTCAGTGTATAATAAGGAGACCAGAGAGCTATCAGACAACCACCTGAAGGATTTCAACAGCCTTCGTTTGTTTGGATTGAGTTGAGTCTGACTTGTTACGGCCTCCTTTATCCACTGCACTCATTTTGTCACAATTCTCGGGCTGGCCGCTCTGCTGGTGGCCAAATTCAAAGCTGATCCTGAGCTCTCCCATCTGACAGCGAGGAAGAACGTCTGGGATCCACTCGATCACAAACGGACTGGCCTCCTTCTGATCTGCTGGCCCTGCAAAGATACCGCGGAGTAAATATACAGCTGACTTCTTGGTGCTATTGCAGCTGCAAATAAGTCACTCACCAACTTTAAGGAAAGTGCGGAGCTCCATCGGTTTTATAGCCTGTGGCCGATCTGTCCTGTATCCCTCGTGTAGGTCTGGTTCAGGCGGAGGATCAGGGCAGCGAAAACGTGAGTAAGAGCCATCTATGTTCTTTACAAAACTCTGAGAGACCTCCAGAGGCAACTGGTGGACAAACAGTGAGGTGGAGACAGATAAAGAGGAGTTTAGTGAATCAATCCATATCTTTTTGCTTTTTGGCAACTGAACTGTAGGGCCCCGTGTCCACAAAGGCATTTTTTCCAAGCTGAAAACGCAAGGCCCTCCTCAAGAAATACCCAACTGGGAACATTTGAGAGCGCTTTGTATGTGCAGCATTTTTTCAGCTGAGACACTTTGGTTGCGTCTGGTTGCTATGATACGGAATATCCGCGTAAGTAAACATGTTGGCACAAGGTAGAGTACTTGCTCTGCATGACGGAATGGCTGAAGCATGCAGAGAGACAGGATGGCCCTGCCAGTCTGTGTGGGTTCATTAGAGGAAACATATTAATATATATACAGTAAAATAAATTTCTCCTTCATTGTTGTTGTCCAACACTCATACATGGAAAATGTTTGTCCTCACGGTGTTTGACCCTTCTTCACTGTGAATGAACGGCTGAAGTGACAATGATGAACACAGTGTTTTTACCCAAAGTTAAATATTTTTCAACTCTCAGCACTCTGAAAAAATAAAACACCCAATAAGCATTGCTGCTGTTTGTAGCACAGTGTAAATCCACGGCACTCCCATTGCAAAGCATTAAAAAAATACACTGGCCTCAGAATGAAACCCTTTGGTGGACACGGCCCCCGAGAGGACAATGTTCAGAGAGATTTACTGAAAAAAACATCCTGAAACAATGAAAGCAAGGCAGACAAAAATAGGGAAGAACAGAGTGTTTTTACCTCTGAGGTGTCGAAGATGCGTTTGACCTGCATGAGGTTAGTGATGTGCCAGGTGTACTTGGAGAAAGAGCCGAGAGGAAGTCCATCATTTCTCACAAATGCTGGCGTCCACACAAACAAAGAGAGAGAGTCTGTTCATGTTCATTTCAGTCTTGTTCATGTTTGTGGTTTGTTTAGAGGCAGAACAATTCAATCAGATCCTTAAAAATCTAACATAACAATGTAAAAGTACTCCATTACATATAAAGGACCTCGATTCAAAACTCTAGGGGCCGTATTCACAAAGCTCCCTAGTACTAAGAGTTGCTCCTAATGACAAACTTCTAAGAAAATTCTTAGAACTGTGCCGTTTTCTTTGAATTTCTCCTTAAAGTTAAGACTAGGACCGTGTTAAGATATAAGTTATTCACAGAGCATCTTAGACCTTAAAAGAACCCCTAAGGTGAAAAACTGTTAGGAGTGGGTGGGAGGATTTTTAAGAGGCTTAAGAGGTCGGAAAAACATTTTCCAAACACTGGATGACAGTGAGTAAATGAAATGCAACAAATAAGATTGTGCAGGAATGATATGTGTGGTTGATCTCATTAGGGATACACACACATTTCCCACCTAACACTAACATAACACTAGAGTGAACAATACCAACATATTTTGAAAAATGCAACAGTGCAGCAGTGATGACTTATGTCTATCTCAACCTTCCATCGGCAGAGTGACCACACAAACAGTGACAAAGCTTTCACAGTCAGTAGTTCATTTCATTTCCACTGGGTTTTCGCACTGGGCGTGTCTGTGACAACCAATCACATTTGTTAAAAGAATACATCATACCTCGCAACAGGATCACCCACACCTCCTCACTTAGGTAAAAGTTTTTGTCCCTTCTTTGATCAGAGTTGCTCTGAGAGCTCTCCTAAATCACTCCTAAGCTAGGACTCCTTACAAAACAATTTTAGACTGAGTTAGGAGCTCTCTGAGTGTTCTCAGAATGTTTGTGAATATGGCCCTAGTATTGTCAACACATGTACTTAAAATCTCAAAGTAAAATGATTTGTTCTGCTAAAGATCAGCCCCTGTGGCTGATAATATTATATCTGACATTTTTAGGTGTTAACACTGATGCATTACTACTGTAGCTGGTTGAGGTGGAGCTACTGTTTAACTACTTTACATATAGTTAGGTGGTTTAGTGCAGTGTTTTAATACCTCCAAAGGGTCATGAGATAAATCTGAGATGATTAATGAGGGTTGGAGAGTTCTGCTACGCAAATGTCTATTCATTTTTTGTAATGTTCTCTAATCTTTGCTGTTTTGTGAAATATTGGACATTTTTTCCTCTTGGGGCCTCAAATATTTATTTAAATGAAACAATGTGAAACTTCTAACAATTTCTGAAATGTAACAAGAGGCCAAAACTACACATACTGCTTAGTTGTAAAAGGTCCCAAGTCAATAGAGGTTGGGAGCCAATGGTTTAATCATTAACATTGCACTCTACTTCGTAAGATTATCATTTGTTTTTTATGTACAATTTTAATCTGCAAAATAACTACAGTTGTCATATTAATATAGAAGAGTAAAAAGTAAAACATTTCCCTGTGAACTGTATTGGAGTAGGAAGTGTGAAGTAGCATAACTTGGAAATACTTGAGTCAAGTACAAGTACCACAAAACTGTATTTGAATAAATGGACTTTCCACCAAATGTGGCAGTGTTTACCTGAGATATCTGGGTGTATTGCAGTACAAACACTGGTAGCTCCAGATTTCCAGGAACACAAGTGTGAAGAGAATCACCAATTAATGATGTCTAATAAATAATTAATATAATTAAGTAAATGATCCACCTGTTGTGAAGTTTGGCAGTCTCCTCTTCTTTGAGCCCAGCGACAGACGATGCTGCAGAGCGTTGAAGAACTCCTGTGGGATGTGGTAGACCAGAGGTTGTGGTTTCCCTGATAGAAAAACATCAACACCAACAACTTCTTTTACTGCATGCAACAAACAACCAAAGCTGGTCATCAGATTAACATGTTTGAGGGAGTTTATAGTTCAGTGTGGAGTGATTAAGACTTACGGGTTGCCAGACTGTGAAAAATCCTTTTTATTCCTTATTATGCATTATAAAAATAGTCATTTTGGGAAATATGTGAATTCTCTTTTTTTTCCACACAGTTAGATGAGAAGATTGATACCCATCTAGTCTGTGTGGTTAATATAAGGCTACAGCCAGAAACTGGCTAGATTAGCTTTGGCTTGGCTGTAGCGTCATATGGCCAGAACACAAACTTATGAAAACCCAATATGAATCTATAAAACATTATTCCTCAATATCTGAAAAACTACTGTAGTGGAAGAACCTTTCATTAATGACATTTATAAATGTTATGAAATCATTAATGAAGGGCTTTCCTTCTACAGTCATCCATCAAATTTGGTTAATAACTTGACATTACATATAAACCTGCCAAATATTTTCTTTTTACTACCGAGAAGCCCACAACTGTTGTTACTAATGGATTACTATCAATTCATAAAGTCCTAATAAGGTGATTAACTAGGAATAAAGCCAATATGCCATTACATAGTATGCCATATTCTCAGATTTTATTTCAGTCAAAGGATCATGTCCGTTTTGATGACTATATTTTTATAGGTTTGGCCAGTGTTTCCATCTGGAAACTAAAGGTATCCAAAGACTTCATTATCTGTATCTGTATTCTGAAAGAACACTGGGAGTGAGTGGGGTTCATACCAGAGGTCACACTGAATCCGGCAAATGTATTTTCTAACCTAATATTCACTAGCTATGAAATTGTTGTGCCTTCAAAGCATCAAAATGATTTAATAATGGTGTAAAATATATTTGTCTGTTTGTTTGTTTGTTTGTTTTTTGAGGATGTTTTTCAATGGACTACTTTTATTTATTTCAGGGGACTTCTATTTCTTAATGCCACAATTATTTTCCAGCTCTTTTTATATCCATCTGTTTCAAAAAAACATGAAATACTTGGTACTCGGTGCTTGGTGATAGTGGACACTAAGTCAAAATTCCATGAAACTTATGGCTGATACCTACGCAATGTTTCATCTTGAATGGATTAATTTTTTCTAAAGTATGAGGTAAAACATCGAGGGGGTGTTTCAATTTTCGGACTGGGTTTTTTTTAAATGGGGGACATTTAACATATGCAGCTAAAAACTACAGGTTGTAAGCTTCATTTTGATGTATAATTTACAGGGGTTTGAAAGACATCCAGCTGCCACACCAGGCTTTTGTTTCACTATTCACTAACATGACACCTCCTCGGCCTTGATGCGAGAGTGATAGCCAGGAATAGTCAGCTGTCAGCCTGCTGCCCACTGTGCACTCACTCAGTGGGGGCAGAATATAGTGATAACAGAACTATCTGTAACTATCACATTATTTGTGCTTCCCCATATTTGGATATTTGGGTACATCCCTACTGGTAACACAGAGACATTTAGCTTAGCTAAGCTCACCTCCGTGGGGTGGTGACTTCACCTGGCCAAGAAATAATTTGGCTCACATTTACTCTGAAAACTACGACCTGTTATTTTACACTTTGGTTTTTGTACATGTTAAACAAACAAGATATGTTGCATTAAGTGAGCTTTAGAAGTGTTGGTAGGTGGATTTTGTTTAGACAGAGCCAGGCTAGCTGTTTCCCCTGTCCCCAGTCTTTATGCTAAGCTAACCAGCTGCTGGCTGCAACTTCATATTTAATGTACTGATATGAGAGTGGGATCAATTCTCTCACCTAATTTTTGACAACAACACATAAAAGCAACATGTGGAACCCCAAGTGCATACTGTATATGCAGTGAAATAATTAATCAACACACAGTGTGCTTAACAAACTTCAGCTTTACCATCAAACTGGTAGTGCATTGTCTGGTGGATCCTCTCTGTGACGCTGGCCAGCCACTGTTGGAAGCCCATCGTCACTATGCGCTCATCCACAACATGCGTACTCCCTGAGACATGAACACTCAGATTAGAAGATCAAGCACAACAAACACTCATTCATTATCTTTTTAGTATCAGGGTGGACCATCCTCCTAACAGATATTTAGTTGTTAAACATCTGTAAATCTTTGGCCTGTCAAGTTTAATTAAAAAGGCCTAGAACTGTTTGCAAATTGAATGTTAAAATATGCTCTATGTCCACTACAGTGCAACCCTGTTCTTTTCAACAGTGGATCAGGATTAGTGCTGCAGGATTAGACAGAGGGATGATAAAGATAGAGACAGATGTCTAAGACGTTGTAAAGCTCTTTAACAGACAGATTTAGGCAGCAGAAAGATGAAAAGGCAGGGAGGGGAGGGCAGACAGGCAGCACCTGGAGCCTTCAGCCCACCAGCACCAGGGGCTTTCCTCTGACCAGCTTTCCTCAGGCCGGAGGCTGACACTCCCTCCTTCCCCACCCCAGAGACAGAGACCACTGAGGGGGCTACATGGAGGCAAGAAATTTAAGGACAGGTTGAGAAGGATAAAGACAGAAAGAGAAGGGAGGACAGTGGAAGATTCAGACAAACACACTTTGGGGAATCATCCTGCATTAATGATAAGTGATATTTCAGAAGGTATTAAGATGAAACCACCAGAGAGAGATTCATCCAGGCGAAGTTTCTTTGATTTATGAAGAGAGTTGACAGGTTCGGCCTGTTGCAGAGGCTTCTCACTGGGACTAACTGCTCTACAGCAGGCGTTTTGCTGCACACCTAAAGAAAAAAAGGGGGAAAGATGGTATTAGCAACAGGTCAAACAAAACCAAAGAATACATTAAAGGAATAGTTTGATATTCTGAAGAAAACTTGCTTCTTTGGTGAGAGTAGAACCAGAAGCTTAGCTTAGCATGAAGACTGGAAACAGAGAAAACAGTTAGACTGGCTCTGCTTGAAGCATAGACTGTATAAATAATAGACACAGCTACCGTGACGTTACCCATTGGTTTGTGCCTCGAGTACCATTTTGGCTATCACTATCTTGGACTTTTGAAGCAAGAAGTAACCATATTGAGATGAGAGGGTGGAGCTGACTTATAGGCTGTGGTGACACCGCGCTTATAGCCTGTCACTCAAAGTGACCTGCCCTTAATTATGCACAACTTTAAGTTTTAATAATCATTAAAAGGCTGAGTTATATAAAATTCACCCCCGTACAGCTGCCATGAGGGGAAATAAGCTACAGAGACCAAAACTGTTTTTGTACCAGGCTGTAAACATGTTTATTTTTTCTGTAAAGTTGAGCATTTTTACATGGAGGTCTATGGACACTGACTCACTTTTGGAGCCACCCTCAAGTGGCCACTAGAGGAACTGCAGTTTTTGGCACTTTGTCATTGGCTTCATTTTCAGTACCAGAGGCTGCTGCTTGGTTTGAAAGTAAAATAAGCACAGGAATGATTAAGAGATGAAAAGAATAGTGCACAATGGATTTTTTCATCAAATAGCTAATCAACTGTTCAAAAGTTTTTTTTTAAAGTTTTACGACTAGAGTCTTCCTGTGGGATATCTCAGGGTAGAGGTCACTGATGTTATAAATCTTTGCTCAGGTTGTTGTTTTTTTCTTTTTTATGATTGCTGTAATTCGGATTTGGGACCTTGAGATCAGAGCGAGGATCCTTTGAAGGTGGATTAAATGTAAATACATTCAGCTGCCAGTTCATTCGGTGCACCTTCCTAGCAAGCAATGTAGGGGTAGTTGATGAGGCAGGTATACTACTGGGTAGATTACAGAGGGGGAAGTGGGTATACTCTCCTTTATATTTCAATGTCTTTTTGGCTTATAGGTAGGTCAGAAAAAGAGGTGGGTATACTCCATATACCTGTGTATACCCTCCACTACACCACTGTTCCTAGTCATTACTAATGCAGTTCAATACAGGAGTGCTGCAATAAGTCCTATCTTCACAAGGGTTACAGTGTTCAGGTTTTGTTTAAACAGTTTAAGAGAGGCACTGAATCAACTGTATGGTCATTTTTGTGGGATGTAGTTTGTGGTGCTCTCTCTTAAACAGTTTACACAAAAAACCTGAACATTACAACCTTAATAAAGGTAGGATTTATCCAGGACTGTTATATTAGACTAAGAGGACCTGACCGACCGGTGTCCGGACAGCAACCTACTCCTGAATGTCACCAAAACTAAGATGGTAGTGGACTTCTGGAAGAAGTAGGAATGGCACTACACCCCCCTTTTATATTAACAGGTCCTCAGTGGAGAGGGTTGAAAGCTTCAAGCACTTTGGTGTCCACATTACCAAGTACCTGACCTGGGTACTGCATACTTACCCAGTGGTGAAAAAGGCAAGGCAGAGACCTTTTATAGTAGACGCCTGAGGAAACACCGGGAATCCCCTAAAATACTGAGGAATTTCTACTCTACTTGCACCATAGAGAGCTTCCTCACTGCCTGGTATGGAAACAGCACAGAACAGGACAGTAATGCCCTGCAAAGAGTGGTTTGTTCAGATGAACACATTACAGGTGCAGCTCTACTGTGCATAAAGGATGTTTACACCAGGCACTGCAAAAATAAGGCCAGCAGAATCATCAAAGGTCTCAGTCAACTGGATACTGGCCTTTTTCCCCTGCCGAGGTCAGGAAGAAGGTACTGGTTACACCAGGCCAGCACTGAGAGGCTCAGAGCTTCTACACTAAGGCCACAAGGATCCTGAATGAAAACCCTGTCACACAAAAACCAAAGGAACTGAAAGATTACATTTCACTGAAAATATATATATATGATTTCAGGTGACAAATTATAAATTGATTGATTGATTGATTGATTGATCTATGTCTAGCTAGGTGTACCTAAAAAATTGGCAACTAAGTGCATGTGCCAGTTTTATGTTTTGTCTGAAAGTGGTCTGGGTGAGAAAGCAGTTTCTTTAGGAGGGCAAAAATGAGAGAGAAAAGTCTGAAAATGTTTTTGCGTTTTGTTTTCAATACAACTATATACTGAAAACTGAAGTGTAAAAATTACAAGATGTGGTTGTGGATAATTTTATGGCTGAAGTCCAGTCATCACCATAATGTTGTCAGGCAACCAGTGGAGGTTCTTATCCTCTTGGCAAGAAAGCAAAATATCAAACTATTCCTTTAAACTGACAGAAGAAAACAGACTCGGTTACTGTACCACTGGGGGTGTAGCTGATAAAAGCAGCAAACTCTGATGCCAGCTTCTCATCGCTTGCAAAGGCACACACACAGGCGTAAAAGTGAAGGCATGGCTGTGACGTGACCGAGCTGGGAGGTGGAGGATGAGAGTTGGTGGATCCACCTGCTCCATCAACACCAGGCTTACTTCTCCTGCTACTGCTAACCTGACAGGCACAGTGGAAGACTGCATCTTTCTGCTGCTGCTGCTGCTGCTTTTCTCCCCTTCTCTCGCTCTTTGAAACCTCAGACAGTCCGCCTGCACCTACAGTGAGATGCAGCAGCCCCAGAGGATGCTGGGAATCTGTGTGGCACTTCACTACCAGGGTATCTTTTGCGACACGCTGCACCAGTGGGCCTGGAGACTCTGTGGCCAGCCTCCACAGCTCTTCCCTGGCTTGAATGGAGGCCTGCAAACCCTCAAGGATGGAGCTCTTTAAGGTCAGTGGCGTTGCACAGCTCCTACACTCTATTGCTTGCTTGATGTGGATGCAGAGGCTGTCTGAGGACTGTTTTGAACTGACCACTGCTGGTTCTGTCTCCCCCTGATTTGACCTTTGACCCTGCCTGCAGGATGGCAAAAAGCAGCGGCCCAGATTGATGCGTGTCAGCAGGGTGGCACCGTCACCTGTTGCTATAGCAGTATCAGTGGGAACAAGTTCAACAAAGCCCAACTGTGTCACTGTGGCTCCTCTTCCTCTATGACACACTGAAAACACCTGCACTCCTCCACCTGAGCTGCTGCCCAGGACTTCTCCTCCACCCTCGCGCTCTTTCCCTGCTCTCTCCTCACTGTCTATTATCACTTTTACCACCTCCACCGCACATTTCTTGCTGCTCCTGCCCGCTGCCGAAGACGCATTTCGGAGGGAAATCCCACATGCTTTGTTCTTGCAGCTGAGCCCACGGGTGCCGTTGTAGACCCCGCACTGTGGACACTTACGAATGCCCCGCAATGTGGCCCTCCCCAGATTGGAGAGGAAGGCGGGAGTTGTGGACGTCTTCCTGTTGTCTCTCTGCTTTGCAGCCAGGTTGGCCTGAGCAGTGGACGTCTGAGGAGCGGAGGTTGAGACCACACTCGATGAGGAGGACACTGTTACTTCAGTTTCCATTTTGGGACTCTTTATCACTAACAGTTTAGTCAGACGTGAAGAGATTCAAACTGGACAGAGAGGGGAAAAAGAAACACATACATTTAGCTTCATACATTCATCACAACATACATTTCTGTGGAGATTACAAGAAAACGTGAACTATATAACCAATCAAAAGTTTGTTATCTCCTGCCACAAAAGCTTGATTGATGTCTGAAATGACTATTATATATTTCTGGATGGTCTTTCATGCTTTTAGGTTGTAGATGGTCCTCTTTACAAAGAGATGATATTTTATGTGAAGGGTTTGTTTTGTACATGGAGAAAAAAACATTGTACAGTGGTTCAGCCAGACTGTCAAATGAAAGGGCAGAGAGAGACAAAGAGCCCTCTGAGCAACAGTTGAATAAGAAGAGAAGGAATCAGCAGTCACTCATGAAAGAAACTGAAAGCTGAACATCAAAAGGTGAACAAACTTAAATAGAAACTGGTTCCTGTTTACTATGGACCATAACACGGTCTGACAAATCTTAGCTCAATATTGAGAGCCCAGTTGCACCACTGAGGATCAATAATGATCGAGGAACACTTGGACTTTTCTAAACTAGAAAACAAAATCAAAATCCAAGTTCCAACAGTATTCTCCACTGTCATAAAACAGTTTGAGGACATCAACTAAATGGAGGTTTGAACCATTTAATTCTTCTTTTGGGGCAAAACTACTCCAAATGTAAATAAATCATTTGGTATCTGAATTATGCTGTTTTTATACCTGCTAAAAAAAAAAACATTATCAAAGGAAAGAAAAAAACATCAGTATAACAGGTGATTCCAAACTTTTAAATGGCAGTGTATAGCCTACGGAAATACAAAAAATGTAAATATAAATTCTGACATGTAAACAGGTTGTAAACAATCAAAAACCAGGTTAAGCCAGTGCAGTGTAATATTACTATGGCAGTAGTATAAAGTGACATAATTGTATCACACATTGTGTGTAAAGTGACTAAGACAAAATCTCGCTTTTTTAATAAAATTTTAAAATTGCAATACTTAACTTAAAAATCATATTGCTTTCTTAAGTTTTGCTGACAATTTGACTACACTATAAGTTAAATTACTTTATGCTTTAAATGTACTACGAATATGTTAAAATGCTGCTCTAGGTCGCTGTAACACACCCCCAGGTATCACACGGATTTACTGCGTGTGTGTTTTTTGAAACAAATGTTTAAACTACCTGTGTTTGGCTTCTGTTTGGTCAGATCAGCTCCACTCTGGCCTCCAAAACCGTCTCGACCGTCGCCATTCCTCCTTACATCCCGACAACCGCATTGCGCCTGTAACGACACTCCCCATTGGTCGGAGACCGTCACGTGGGGCAAAAAAGGGGGGGCGGCCTCTCTGGGAGCGCTGAATCATGGAAGGTGTAGTCCATTTATATTGGCGGGGAACGCTTGACTTAATGTTACTTTTCAGGTGTTTTTTTGTTGACCTCAGCTTTTAGAAACACTCAGTGAATCTCACATTATAATGTATCCACTCCCACTGTATTTAAAGTATCATTAGTGTTGCATTATGCTCGTATTTTTATATTTTTACAACCTTTACATATTACACATACTAAACATTTTTTTAATATTTTACATACTGGTGTTAAACATTGTAGCATACTGCACATAATTTTCTTTTTATGTTTTACATACTTGCTTTTTATACTTTATTATAATTCTCTGTGCTTTATATTAGAGTTACTGTAATGTATCCCAATTCCCACCCAGGGATCAATGAAGTATTTGTGACTCTGATTAATGGGTACAGAGAATGTTAACCTGCAAACACATTAATCTGAGATTATGTTCTTTTACATATTACATGTTTTTGATTAATCAATTTTGTAGTCTACAAAATTGTCTGAAAACTGAGAAAAACAGCCTATGAATGTGGTCAAATGTCTTGTTTTTTCTGAGCCTACAATCAAAAACCCTCAAATAATCAGTTTACAGTGATATAAACCACATAAAATGCAGTAAATACTCAAATTGGAGAACATGGAACCAGATAATGGTAGTAGGTTACAAATGACTGGTGAAAAAACCCCACACACAATGAATAACCTAAGTAGGTGAGTAGTGATTATTTCTTGGTAATCAACTCATGGACTTTATATCAACTCAGTTGTTTAGTTTAAATGTAAATCAACAACTGTTTATAAACTCATAAAGCAAGGGGCCCCTAAGGCTTAACTAGGCCCCTTCTGACCCTCCAGTTTCTCCCACTGTCTGTGCATGTATGTAACTGATTAAGCACAGATTTATTTAGTTAAACCTAAAAAAGGCCCTTCTCATCATGTGGCTTCAAGATTGCAAGATTGGCTAAAAAGGCCCATATAATGTCAAATACACTGTATTTCAGTGGTACATTCAGCATCGACTAACAGTTGCAGTTATTGTAATTACTGTTACCTAATTGTAACTTGAGGGTCAGAGGCCATTACCCATTTTGGCATATACACCTGCCTTGCTATTTAAGGCTGCAACAATTATTTCCATATCGAGTTCTTTTTTTTTTTTTTGAACTGATAAGCCTATATAATATAATAAATATTGTTAATGGTTTCCCTGAGCACAGAGCAGCTTCCTTTGTCTGGCCAACAGTCAAGATATTCCATTTACAGTGACATAAAAGAGAAAAGCAGCACATCCTCACAATTCTTTGAGTGATGAAAACCACTGATCTATTATCAAATAATCTTCCTGTTGATCAGAAAATTCAGGTGGAGTACTGAATCCTCAATTTCTTTTAAATCTTCTTTCAAATTTAAAAATGAGGATAAATATCCTGGAATCAGCAAACAGTGTTCATCAAGTGTTAAACTAAAAAGCAAAATAATGTTAAAGCTCTTTGGTTCAGTTTCTCAAATGTGAAGATTTGCTGCCTTTTTTTGTCATGCATTTTATACAACTGAATATTTTTAAGTTTTGGACTTTTGGCCAGACAAAACAAAAACATCCAGACTGAACTGATTGGTTGATCTATACAATTAGCAGATTAATCAACGAAAATACAGGCTAGTTGCCGCCCTATACTCAATACTGTAAATGAAATACCAGGTTTATTATTCAAGGGACAGTTCACCTCAAAATTAAAAATACACATGGCAGTCAAAATTAAAAACAAAGTCTACACATTGTGAATATATTTTGCATGCCTGGGACACTTCTGCCTCTACAGTGATGTGCTGTAAGTAAAAGTCAACCACAACAGATGCATTTTTGTCCAGCCCTCCATTCTCTGCATGACACCTTCCACCTGGGTTTAAAGATAAGATGCAAACAGTGTAACTGGGAGCTGTTTTAAGCATCAGCATTTTAATGGGACAAAGCAAAAACTCAAACCATGTTACTGAAGCATTAACAGAACTTCCCTTGCCAAAACATAGGTTGAAACATTCTTAGGCACCGCCTACTCTTGGATGATTTTTTGGTTAAATTAAAAAGTAACTCACTGATAATAATAAGGCAACACAATGGATTTTTCAACTATATTAAAAATGATGGTGGCCACAGTGCAAAAATCTGATCCTTATAAGGTTCTTTCTGAAGCTATAAAAACAATTGTTATTTAGGTTTAAGACAGAATAACTTAAATGATGTATTACTTGTCAATCGAAAGGCTTTTGCATTGCATGGCAATGCAGCTTGTTGTCTGAGCCTCTGGAAGAATCAAATGTTGCACTGTCTATACTGTACACAGACCAGCACTGGACAGGGATGCTACTGTCAAACAGCTGTTTCTGGAGTCCATTATCCGAACCAGGAGTAAGCTCGCTTCCTTGATCAACATGATGTCTTTATACAGATTCAGTACAATTGAACAGACTGTTTGGTTATTTACATAAAAACAGACAAAAGAAAGTGGAATGCAAAAACATAAAAAAAAAAACCCTAGTATTTCAAATTTTGTGAAAAGATAACCTTAAGTATTTGTGCAATATTTGTCTGCCTATAAGTAAGATAAGAGTGGCAGTAATCCCTGCAATTGGTTTATTTGAGATATTGAAAATCTAATTTAAAAAATAAAGTTGACAGTTGACAGCCACTTAATGTTCTACAAACAAACAAACGGTCTCATGTGTCTCATGATTTCGATGGTGTCACTGCAACATTTCTTTATAAGACAGTCCCGAAATGAAACACAAAAAAGGCATAAGCTCTTTATACAATGTCAGCATTTTAAAGTTGCTCCAAACAAAACAGAAAAGAAGAAAGAAAATGACACTATTTTCTGCAACAACAACAACAACAAAAAAAGATGGCGTAGTCCTTTCTGTTTCAGGGGAAGATGAACTGGACATTGTTCTTGTGTGTAAAAGCATCAGTTCATGCACACACGCAAGCACACACAAACATTTCTCATCCGCAGACTGGATTCTCTTCAGTCTGTTCAGTCCGTCTCGGGAGATGAAAGTGTAGGAGCGCTGAATTTGACTTGTTTTGTGGTTTCCACTGTCCCTCAACCTGCCTACTTGTTCTACTCAGTGATTTCCTACATTTCACAGAATGACTTGCCAACACCCTGAGAACTTGCTTGGACTTGTTTTTCACTTCAGTAACAGGTGGACAGACCAGCAGTGAGAGTGGGAGGTTCCAACTGAGGACGAAATAAAAACCACACCCCCTACTTAAAACACTGCATTACTATGGACTACTGAGTGCTTCCTGTGTCAAAGTTCTCTTCTCCCTGTATGATTGTTAAACATTGGTATAAAATTCTGCCCTTGCTCTTTGGCTCTGATGGGCTGAAAACAAACTGTGTTTCACTATAATAAGCTGATCTTTCTTTTAAACTAAAATGTGGCTGTGCTAGAAATATCTTGACACGGTTGTATAATTTACATTTTGGCCAGTTATCTGCAGGCATTACAAAAATACGCCAAACAATAAAATGGGCCCAGGAATGCTAAGGTGCGTTAGCAACTAGCTGTATTAACAGTGTTTAAGTGTTCTGGAGTGGATTGTTTTCTTTACACTTGCAGATTTGGGCAGTGGGTGAAGTTATGGGCTGGTAAAGGTTGATAAAATGGCGTACCAGCCTCTCTAACAGAATTACTTTGTGTGGTGGCAGAGAGAGCACATCTAATGCACTCCTTTCCCCAGCAGAGTATCATCCTTGTGGCCTCAGACGCTTTAGAGAGGGCTACTGTGATCAGTGATCAGTGGGTGTGGTAGCCAGCAGTGCTCATGCCAGCCTGGTTGGTTAGCACCGTCCCGTTGACTCCCTGCCCGGGCTCCACCATGCCCCCGTTGCTCACAGCGCCCACACCTGTCCAACCGGCACCAGCATGTAAATGACTGTAACAGCATAAAGAAACAATAGTCACACAAATGCTGACACACATTAGAGGTACATTACTTCATCAGCTAAAGAAAATAAATTCACAGATTTTACATACACTACGCAGAAGATCATCCACGGAAGATTACTGTAACAATGTCATTACACAACAAAATTCCAAGACTTCTCCAGGTTTTCCATGATTGCGCATTTAATATGTGTGGCAGTTTCAACCTGTTGCAATCAAAGTTTATCAATAAAATTCTTCCATGTTTGTGAATAGTTTTTAAGCTAACTTCCTAAGCTGTAAAACTGGACACTTCTTCTGGCATTTCTGGCCATTATCAAACAGCCTCAGGTGAATTACTGCCACCCTCTGGACTGAACTGAGGCTGATCTGCATGTAGTCTAGAAATACCAAGATAGATTTAGGACAGATTTGACCAGCCCAATATCGACGCAAATATGTGGCTAAGCATCAGTGAAAGTTATTAGCTTGCATTTGGACTTTATCCTGATATGAGACATTTGCAGTGGTGGAGAGCAACTTAATACATTTATTCAAGTACTGCACTAAAGTGCAGTTTTGATATACTTGTACTTTACTTGAGTATTTCCATGTTAAGCTTCTTTATACTTTGATGGCAATTACTGTATTTTTTTATCCACAGTATTTATTTGATATACAGTATTTAGTTACTTTTCAAATTCAGGGTGTCTACAAGTATCATGTATGACATTTAAATTCAATGTTGTTGTTTTTTAAATTATTATTACAATTTTCGGGCTTTTTGCCTTTATTACAGGAAGGCATGAGAAAGGGAGTGGAGAGAAAGGGAAATGACACAAAGCAAAGGACCGCAAGCTGGGACCAGTCAAGCTGGAGGTCTCCCCAAAATGTAATGATTTTTAAGATCTTCTCAAGATATATATATATATATATTTTATTTTTTATTTATTTATTTATTTTTTTTCCCCCTCTTTACCAAATTCTAAACTTTTTGGACAAACTTACATTGCAGGTAAGTATAAATGTCATGTGGTCCAATGCAGAGGGAGGTTTTATGTAGGAATGTGGTTAGAGGTTGAAGTGTCAGTTTTCTCTACATTTTGCCAACAGGTTGAGTGAAAGTATCAAGTAAAAGGAGGAGAACTTGACTCGTTTTGACAAAAAGAAATTCAAAGTTGGAGAAATAAAATTAGATGTGTGGGGCAGTTAAGACCTCATAAACTGAAATAAAAGACAATTCAACATTGAGGCCTAATTATTGTAAAATTGAATTTAAGACATTTTAAGATGTTTCAAGGACCTACACCCTGAAATTCAAACTGAATACAAAGTATAAATCAACTGATTAATTATGATATGTTATTATAGATCAAGCTCATCAGCAGTATATAGAGTGATTAAATTTTTCTCCACTGTTATCAGCTGCAACATTAAACTGACGAACACATTAATGTATTATCAATGAGAATAATCCAGTGATAAAATATGTGATTCTGAAATGGGCCATTTTTATGCTAATAATTTACTTAAGATTTTAAATGCAGGACTTTTAATAGTATTTTTACACTGAAATATTGCTGCTATTACCCAAGTAAAAGATCTGAATAATTCCTCCATCAATGGACATTTGAAAAAAGCTGGAATTACACTTCAGCTATGTCTGCAGCCTTTAAAGCTGTGAGTTTCTGACGGTAGTAGATTGTCAAGAGTGGACTTGAAACTTGCTGAAAAAAGGTTCAGTTATTGTCACCTTTTACACTAACACAAACCTAGCAAAGCCATTTCCACTGTAAACTTCTGCTCACCATCGTAAATAAATATTGTAAATGAATACGTCGGGCGCACAAAATAGTCCCATGTTCAGATAGTAAACTCAACACTATTGCTTATATCACAAAGCCAGTGAGACAACGTAAACATGGCAACTATGGGGAACATAATTAAAGCATGATACAACCCCACAAGGCCCATTTAGTATTGCCGTGGTAACAGCAACTGGCAGAACTGAGGCAAACAGGTTCAGGGAGGGGAAAGTACCTTCACTCTCAAGCTGCTCCCTTGACCCCCGAGTCATTTCTGGTACTCACTTGTAGCCCTGCTGATCCCAGGTCTGTCCATAGACTCCATAGCTCGGCACCTGCCATCCATTGGGTACATACTGACCAATCTGCTGTGCAGCTGTGTTGCCGTACCACTGACCCCACTGAGAGTAGGGCTGCGCTGCGAAGCTCACTGTGTTCTGCTGACATACAGAATAATATTTTAAGAGGCAGAGTATCATGTTGCACCACAGTTAAAGACTGTAGCAGGCCAGCAGGGACTTAATTTAATGTCTGGGTGATGATTATAAAGTTGTGTTGGGGATAATCTTGGTGCTTACCTGAGGCATCTGTACCTGCTGTATGGGGCTAACCATGTCTGTCGTTTCTTTGCCCCAGTAACACTTAACAACATAGCCCTCTATGGATGTACCATTGACAGACACAATGGCATGAGCTGCTGCTTCATGAGAGTTGAATCTGCACACAGAAAAGAGGTAGACTGTTGAGTATCAAGTCTTAAAACCATTTAAGAGTTAAACCTTCAATGCATCCAATAAATGTCTGACAGGTCAATCTGAAAGAGAGCTTACCTCACGAATGAGTAGCCTTTGTCCGGGAAAACACGAATTTCCATTATTTGGCCAAAAGGTGAGAAGGTCTGTCTCATAATTTGCTCTAAAAACAAAGATAAAATGAAGAGTTGATATTCCATGTGCAAGTAGTGCCTCTAAACCTGCAACTTAATCTTACTGACAAACTGCGACTCACCTGTGAGACCTGTGGTGACTCCTCCGCAATAGACGGTGCAGTTGCTGGGGCTGGACTGGTTGACCACCTCATCAAAAGACAGCTGCTTGGTACTGGTTGCTAAAGAAAAGTTAGGGCAGTTTATTTAATTTGTTGTCTTCTCTCAAAAATGTTTCTCTTATAATACATGTGTGCTGAATTAAAAAACAAATACATAGGTTTAATTCTTTTTGCATCTAAGGTTTGACTTATTGGGCCCTATTTAGATGGTCTAAAACGCGAAGCGCCAGGCGTGTGGCGCATGGGCGTGTCCCAGTCACTTGCAAGTTAGACAGTGCGTTTTTAGACTGCGCGCCATGGCGGAGAGTCTAAAAGGGTTGGACTTACTCTGTGAATTAGTCATGGGTGTGTTTTGGGCGTATCATTCAATAAGCCAATCAGAGTGTCACCTCTCATTCCCTTTAAAAGAGGCGCAATTGGAGCCCATGGCGGAGAGCTAGTTAGATGGCGGACCTAACAACTGCAAAGAGTGAGCATTTTACAGCTGAGGAGACGGATCTCCTTGTGCAGGAGGTGAAGGCCCGTCAGAACCAGATCTACGGGGACAGCAGACAGGCACCCAAGCTCCCCGAGGTAAAGCAGGCGTGGGATCACTAATACAAGAAAGATCTAACTAAATATCTGTGGAATATTATCCAAACCTGTTTTCATCATATAACAGAGCACAGCGGTCAGGACTGCCGTGGAGCTCCCCAAGGTGCTGATCCTGCAGCTAGGACCTGTTCAGCATTTTCTCCCCCACCCACGTTTGTTAATTGTTTTCACATGTTTCCTAGAGCTGTGTTCTGCCTCTTATTTGCATGTGTGTCCTCTCTACACTCAATGCAATGTGTGGGCTTTGGTTTTCAATCAAAAAAATGATTGATTGGTCAGATAATTTCACAATTTCATTTGTCATTATTATAGATTATGATGATCATTATTACTGCGATTAGATCATTCTGATTAATGACTGACCATTAAGATGGGTTTCTGATAAATATTTTAATGTGAACAATAATAACCTTTCACATTGTAATCATATTTTTATTTGTTATCTTTTGCATATGTGTGGCTGCTCCGTGTGTGTCTGAGCAGAGTGCACATGTGTTGTGCACCCGCCTAGAGACGTATATTACTAACTTGTTTAACAGCGAAATACTGCGGTGTTGACTTTAGACCAGGTTTTTGTTGGTCACTGGTGCATTTGCTTTTTACGTCATCTAACTAGCAACGTGCCATGACTGCGCCTGACCACTCCTCATTTTTAGACCAACACACCCAGAGAAGCGCAAGTTCATTTGCTAGTTAGACGACGAGGGTGCAGGGCGTGAAAATGACAACTGCGCCTGCATCTAAATAGCAATGACACTTGCGACATGGATTATGCGCCCTCTGCCGTCCGCTTTAGACCATCTAAATAGGGCCCTTTAAGTGTTTTTTGGTCGTGTGAGATTCTCAATTGTAGAAGGTAACAAACTTCTGTCCTTTTATGTTATCAGGTGCCCCAGGAAATATCGTAGGTGTCATGGAAAGCCTTTGCAAAGCAAGGTAGCATTGGCCTCTAATCTCTATGAACTTACTCTCATTTGTATTTTTAGGAGCAGGCTTCCTTGTGGCCCAGTTGGTCCTGATCTGCCTTCCTCCCAACCACTGTCCTCCCATCTGCTGTATGGCGTTCTCTGCATCCTGATTATACAGGCAGAAACATGCAAACTCCTGAGTCACCAACACCAAACACAAAACATCCCACTATATGTAAACCCTGAGCTTCAACTGAGTCAGCAATCAGAACCTGCTAATGTTTTCTCAGTCCTCTAACACATAGGCATTACTGGCAAACTTACCCATTTGTTGAAGAAGGAGACAAAGCCATAGCCTTTAGATTTACCTGTGGCCATGTCTTTCACCACTCGACAGTCCCTGTGGACAAATACACAGTCAGTCAACAAATTCAGTTCACGATTTTATTAAATTCATGACAGAATTAACAATATAACTCAATAATAAGGTTTCATTAAGTTGCTGTTTAAAGCCCCAATCAGACAAAGTGTATTTTGCAGAGACGCACCGCCTTTTTTTTTTGGAAGCCTGCTTAAATCAGAGTGTGCTTTTTGTAGCTTGCTGTGTCTTTTTATTTTTTTTTTTATTATTATTGTTGCTAGGCAGCCACTGAATTACCTGTCCTTATCTTATCTGCTTTTTTGCTGTGATGTAAACTCACCGATCTGTACCTTAAATCAGCATTAACAATGGACAGGCAGAGGACCCTTCACTGGCTCTGATTGACAGGCTGTTCCTAAATAGTACACTGGTCACAGAAAAACGGAGGTCCAGTATATGAGACCCTCAGAAGAGGAGAAAGCCCATGGAGTATCATCAGCTGATCCAGAAGCTTCGCCAGGATTATGTTCAGTTTAAGGCTTATTTTAGGATGAGTCAGGGACAGTTTGACAATCTGCTGTTAAATGTCGGGCCTAATTATGGTTGATAAAAACATAAAAAAGCAGCTGAGGCAACAATTTGCTCAGATATGTCTTGCAGCTTGCCTAGGGCGACACTGAAAATGAGCTAACGTTAGCTTAACACAAACCATATGCTATCGCTTGACATCACCATCACCGAAGACTCACCCCAATTGGATAAAAGTAAAAAAAACTCGGGGCATTCAGGGCACCCCTATAAAAATGCAAGGTGCTCAGCAATGCAAAAGTAAGTAGCAAAACATTTCACCCTAATTAAAATCAATAACAAAAGGCCACCCCAGGCTGTGGGACTAACTAGATCAGTTTTAAGTTGGGTTTGGTGTACACATATACTGCATTGTGGCATTTGTTATGATAACTTTTAGTATGTTTTCATGACATGTTCTTTATTACCATGAACACACACATACACACTGTAGTTTATTTTGACTCAATCCCACATACACTGTCCTGCTTCCCAAAATTCACACTGGCGCTCCAAATGTCCAATTAATGGACTGCTGAAAATAGTCCTCAATAAATGTACTATTTACTATTATTAGAGTAGCAGGAGTTGAAAACTACAGCGTCCAGCAGTTTTAATTAAATTACTGAGCCTTTCAAGGTTTAAAGCTGTATACTTGTGATCTGTTTATGCCTTCAGCAGAAACCAGTGGGCTTAGGGCTGACAGCTTAAGACAATATTGGGGACACAAATCCTGGGATTTGTTAACATTTTAAAAAATAACAGCATGTAATAATAAAAGTGATCTGTATAGAACTATATTTAACAAGGTTATAAACTGTTTTACAGCAAAACAGCAGATAAAACCAACACAAGGATCATAAAACACCGGGGTGATAAAACCCAGCAACATATTAAATATTCATATACACTTTACTACAAAATAAAGTTTTAAAAAGGGATTAAAAAGACACTAATGATGCAGCCTGTGTGATCTCAATGGGCAATACAGAATCAAATAAAACATAATATAATTAAATATAGAATTACTCAGACTGATAATGATGATGAGAATATACTTACGATATTTTCCCAAATGGAGCAAAAGCTGCTTTTATGTCATCTGTGGTGATTTCAGGACTTAGATCTCCAACAAAAACATGGAAGTGACCTAAAAAAAACACAACGTGGATGACAGAAAAACAATTGAACACAGCAACCATAAAGCTGGTGTGATATACACCAATCAGCCAAAACATTAAAACCACCGACAGGTGAAGGAACTAACAATGATCATCTTGTTACAATGCAATGCTCTCCTTGGAAACCTTCAGTAGTGTTACTAATGTAGATGCCACTTAATATGTGCCACCCACTCAAACGCCACTGCAGACCAAGCACACCCCGTCATGGCAGCGGCAATCCCTGATGGCAGTGCCCATCCCTGATGGCAGTGCCCCCCAGCATGCAATGCACCATGCTAAACCACAAAAAATGTTCAGGAATGACCCGAGGAACATGACAAAGAGCTCAAGGCATCAACCTAGTCCAAATTCCACAGATCCCAATCTGACCTAGCATTTGTGGGCAGTGCCAGTACCCCAGAGGTACCCCAATCCAGGGTCAGGCCTCCTTGGATCAGACTTGGCTCTGACCTGTCCAGATATGGACACAGGACCTCTGGGGATGTCCTGTGGTGTCTGGCACCAGGGCGTTGGCAACGGATCCTTTGAGTCCTATGGGTTGCGAGGTGCTGTATTGGCACGTCCCACGGATGCTCAAGCAGATTTGGATCTGGCTAATTTGAGGGCCAGGTGCGATGTGGCATGGCACATTGTTCTGCTGGCGGGGCCACTGCCATCAGGGAGTGCTGATGCCATGAGGGGGTGCACTTGGTCTGTAGCGGTGATTGGGTGTGTGGTGGGTGTCAAGTGGCATACATGAATGCCAGGACCCAAGGTTTTCCAGCAGAACACTGCACTATAATGAGATGATCAATGTTACTCACTTCAGCTGTTAGCGGTTTTGTAGGCTTTTGATTTCATGTGACAAATAAATTGACTGACTGATTATACTAACACTTCTGTTCTTTTAAATTTTATTTCTTTAAATTGTATCTGTTCTAAATGTTGAATGAACATTACCAAAAACCACAAAACACTTTATTTAGTAAGATAAAAACAGATTTAGTAAATATGAGCGATGCACAAAGATCGCGCTGGCTGTTCACATGTGATACAGTTATGCCACATTTCCACTGCACAGTAATGTGCGGCTCTAATCAATGGAGAATCCAGTCTCCACTTAGGGGGTACTATCCGCAGTGGAAAACAAAATAGAGAAACTGACCTACTACCAAAAGTGAGTTGAGTCAGGTCCACTCAAAGCATGCAGTGGAAATAAGGTATTAGATTAGGTAGTTACATGGAGAAAGCTGTAGGTACAGTACAGGCCAAAAGATTGGACACACCTTCTCATTCAATGCGTTTTCTTTATTTTCATGACTATTTACATTGTAGATTCTCACTGAAGGCATCAAAACTATGAATGAACACATGTGGAGTTATGTACTTAACAAAAAAAGGTGAAATAACTGAAAACATGTTTTATATTCTAGTTTCTTCAAAATAGCCACCCTTTGCTCTGATTACTGCTTTGCACACTCTTGGCATTCTCTCCATGAGCTTCAAGAGGTAGTCACCTGAAATGGTTTCCACTTCACAGGTGTGCCTTATCAGGGTTAATTAGTGGAATTTCTTGCTTTATCAATGGGGTTGGGACCATCAGTTGTGTTGTGCAGAAGTCAGGTTAATACACAGCCGACAGCCCTATTGGACAACTGTTAAAATTCATATTATGGCAAGAACCAATCAGCTAACTAAAGAAAAACGAGTGGCCATCATTACTTTAAGAAATGAAGGTCAGTCAGTCCGGAAAATTGCAGAAACTTTAAATGTGTCCCCAAGTGGAGTCGCAAAAACCATCAAGCGCTACAACGAAACTGGCACACATGAGGACCGACCCAGGAAAGGAAGACCAAGAGTCACCTCTGCTTCTGAGGATAAGTTCATCCGAGTCACCAGCCTCAGAAATCGCAAGTTAACAGCAGCTCAGATCAGAGACCAGATGAATGCCACACAGAGTTCTAGCAGCAGACCCATCTCTAGAACAACTGTTAAGAGGAGACTGCGCTAATCAGGCCTTCATGGTCAAATAGCTGCTAGGAAACCACTGCTAAGGAGAGGCAACAAGCAGAAGAGATTTGTTTGGGCCAAGAAACACAAGGAATGGACATTAGACCAGTGGAAATCTGTGCTTTGGTCTGATGAGTCCAAATTTGAGATCTTTGGTTCCAACCGCCGTGTCTTTGTGAGATGCAGAAAAGGTGAACGGATGGATTCCACATGCCTGGTTCCCACTGTGAAGCATGGAGGAGGAGGTGTGATGGTGTGGGGGTGTTTTGCTGGTGACACTGTTGGGGATTTATTCAAAATTGAAGGCACACTGAACCAGCATGGCTACCACAGCATCCTGCAGCGACATGCCATCCCATCCGGTTTGCGTTTAGTTGGACCATCATTTATTTTTCAACAGGACAATGACCCCAAACACACCTCCAGGCTGTGTAAGGGCTATTTGACCAAGAAGGAGAGTGATGGAGTGCTGCGGCAGATGACCTGGTTTGGGGTGAGCTGGACCGCAGAGTGAAGGCAAAGGGGCCAACAAGTGCTAAACACCTCTGGGAACTCCTTCAAGACTGTTGGAAAACCATTTCAGGTGACTACCTCTTGAAGCTCATCGAGAGAATGCCAAGAGTTTGCAAAGCAGTAATCAGAGCAAAGGGTGGCTATTTTGAAGAAACTAGAATATAAAACATGTTTTCAGTTATTTCACCTTTTTTTGTTAAGTACATAACTCCACATGTGTTCATTCATAGTTTTGATGCCTTCAGTGAGAATCTACAATGTAAATAGTCATGAAAATAAAGAAAACGCATTGAATGAGAAGGTGTGTCCAAACTTTTGGCCTGTACTGTATGTAGCAGTCTTTCTCGGTGTACAATGCATTCGAAACTTGTCACTTAAATCAGAATCAGAAATACTTTATTGATCCCCGAGGGGAAATTATTTATGTTACAGGTGCTCCTTGCAAGAGAGGAAAGATACGTCTTATTGTTATTGTTATTTGAAAGAATATAGTGGTACTTTTTTATGTATTGTGAGAAAAGAAAGTAAGAAAGCAATTTCTTTCCTCTGTATATGGTATGATGAGAGAATGATGGCATTTCTACATCAAATCCCCTTGAATGATGACAGATGAAACCTTTTCCCAGGAAGGAAATGTGTTATCTTGACAAACTACTTACTGCTTGTGTCTTTCTTTTGGCTGGTTGGTGTCGTGGCCCAGTTGACCTTGACCTCCTGCAAGAGAGACAGATGCCGAGAGCGAGGGGAAGAGGAGAAAAGGTGAGTAGTGAAGCACATGTGCAGAATAGAGGAAGGTGCTTTTTCTTTGATTAGAGGTTTTGTCACACACCAGTTTTACTTTTATATTTTGCGATTGAGAACTTGTTTTAAGAAGGTGGTCTCTGTATGCCACACGTGGGTTCTTAAACCACCACTACAAATTGCTTTATCCATTGTTATTATCTAATTTTACATACCTTTGCATTAATTAATAAAACAGTGAAATACAGTGGAGAATATAAAGGGATATCAAGATTTCACCTTCATAATCAGGAACATTTCAGTCTCAGTCTAGTAAAAATTTGGAGTAAAACTGTAGGAAGTAAGGTCCAAATAACAAGGGACTTACAAACAAGTGATTTTTACGAACTTGTTATACTCCTCAAATGGTCCTTCAATACCTGTTGAGGATAAAATATTTTCAACTGAATGTATTTCTCTTGAAGTTGATCTTATGTGGATTCTATGTGGAAATAACTTTGCAAAAGAACACATAGCAGTAAAGATGTAGGGGGACAGAAGAGCATCAATCAAAGTAGATCAAAGAATGTTACATGTAGCATGATTACACAGCGGGGCCATGTTAAATCAATCAATCAACAGATGGCAAACTCACTTAAAAAATCTTAATCAAAACAGAGAGAGCATGGTGCATAAGGTGACAATAAAAACAGCAGTTTGTTTACACCTTGTAAATACACAATGGATGTTATCAGTTGAATAGGTGTGTCTGTGATGTAATCCATTGCCGCATTTCCACTACATGGTATCACACAACTCTAATCAACTCGATTAGCCCCTCTCTGGATTTCCTTTCGCAAATGTTGTGGATAGTTCCTGGTTCTTTTTTTGGAACTACCTCCGTCAAGGTTCCATGCAAGCTGGACGATACTAAAGGTGGAGTTAAAACACTGCAGACCAATGATTGGTCAGAAATCCTTTGCTCAACACAGGACATCCTGCACAACCAGCCATTTTAAATTGTCACGCTATCGTCAAAAGCAGCCACAATTATTTTCAATGTCAGCCTGAAAGAAAATTGCACCATATACTACGTCATACAACTGACTAAATGCAGACGTTCCTCTGTTTGGTTGCCAGTGAAAGGATCCAGCTAGTGTCAAGTTGAAGATGAGGTCACAGCAGTTTTACGGAGCATCACCATAGCAATTAGGTGAGAATCCCACCTACAGTGAGGGGGTACTATCCGCAGTGGAAAACAAAACAGAGAAAGTACATGGTACCAAAAGTAAGTTGAGTCAAGCTAAACCATGCAGTGGAAATGAGTCATAATGATATAACCTGTAAAAAAAAATCTAATATTGTTCAGGATTTGTCATTAACAGTGTGGTGACAACTGACCCTAACACCAACAACACGCAACATGTGGAAAGCCAATTAATTATAGCGTGTTTAAGTGTTTTCATAACCTAAGTGGTCAAATGTAATGTTAAAGGAGTACTTCACCTACAGAATGACTATCTGTATATCAATTAGTCATGCTGTGTTACCTTGAATTTGTGAAGAAAACACAAATATTTCCTCCTTGGAAAAGGGCAAACATATTGATTAACTGATTGCTTGGGGACCACATTAAACAACAGGAAGTATGGTGAAGTGGTTGAAGTATTCCTTTAAGTATGAATACCAAAAAAATGCTGGATCCAGCTTCTCCGGTGTGGATATTTGCTGGCTAACATAGTTTAATATAATGGTAGACTAAATGTTACTGGTCATGCTGGTCATACTAAACAAGACCCCTGAATATGGCAACTTGGGATTTTTCCCTATTTTATACGCCAAAAGATTAATTAATAATGAACACAATCAGGCATTGCAGTCCAATGAACAATGGCTTGAGTTGATTTTTTAAAAATGCAAAACACTGCAAAAACAGAGAGCTTTTTTGTGTATGCATTAACTTCAATTATATTGTTGCACATATCAGATATCGCAAAAATAAATGTTACTAAATATTAATGACTTCAGTGCTTGTGCAAAACATAAACATGGGTCTAAATCAAATCACAAATGGTGTAAATATTTAATAAAGTGCATCAGTCTGAATGTTTTGTAAAGACCTTCACTGAATTTAAGAAATAACTGTAGCCTTCTAAACCGACAACTGTGACGGGAAAACACAAAGAGGCAGAATACGCCATAACATTTAGTAATTTACTGATTGAGTACTTTGTATCCTTAATTTCAAGTTTTGAATCCATAGCAATCACTGATGAAGTATCTTCAGACTTGTGTTTGAAACCATGAGAAAGCAAGAAACCAAGGAAACAATTACAGACAAAACCGAAAGCTCTCACTGTTACTCTTTGTTTTTAGGATTCTGACTGTTCACAGCAGTAACATGACAGAGATCAGTGTCTAGTGTTCCCACCCCGGTCATTTCAGACTGTGCACAGAAGATTAATGTGCACCGGGGAATAAAACAAATTAAGTTGAAGTGGAGCAGGAAGAGGGTAGTGAGATGAAAAGAAACAGGTTTTCCCAGCCACTTCATTTCAACCCTACCCACCCAGCCTCGCCACTGTTGACTCACCCAGGAGATATGATAGCTTACCTTACCCAGTATTTTCCGACCATTCATGGCTGCGATTGTGGCAGTGGCATGTCTATGCTCATAGAACTCCACAAAGCAGTAAGGATCATGACCTGCTGTCTGGAGTGGACAAGAAACACAAATATTAATAAAATGTATTTGACCTTTTTTTTTTTTTTTTATTAAATAAAGAAAGAAAAAGGTCTTGGGGGAAATATGAGAAATGCTCCTTTTTGTCTCAGCTGGCTGGAGGGACTGTTGGTGTCTGTGTTACACCGCAGAGAACAACAGACAAAGTAAGCAAACTTGCGCTGTTGCCTACATGTGATGGGCAGACAGTGTGTTGTTGAGGTATTAAAAAGTAGGGACCACAGCAGCATCTAACCAGACAGAAGTGACATTTGCAGGAATGTTTACGTGCTGCTTAATGTGCTGCAGCTGACGAGTTTATTAGTTGTCTGGCCTTCAAAGTAAAGTTAGGCTCAGTGAGGGGCAGAACAAGACGGGTGTTCATTTCATGTCTGTAAGTTAGATAAAATGGAGACTTTAGCAGGAAAGCTAATGTGGGTTGTTGTTCAGTGTTGACATCACTGTTTTATGCAAGACTTGATTAGCTGTATCGAAATAAGGTCTCCATCTATGCAGACAAATTAATAAAAAACTAGGGGGCACTATCATGAAACAAAAAAAATATTAAATATGGGCTTTTAAGTGATTTCTATATTCAAGTATTCAAATTAAACTAGTTAGGATATTCCTGTACTGTGTGTAAAATAAAGTCTAACATAAAAATAGGATTTGAAATAAACACCCAAGCAAAGATGCAGGAAGGGGTTAGGGTTACCTTTCTGCACTGTGCAGACACCACCAACACATCTCGTTATCTGTTCTCTGCCCTGGTGGCTTCACAACCTCATAGGCTAACACTGCTAGCAAATGAGGTGAAGTTATCTGTCTCCACCATTTTGCTTTTTATGCTTAATGCGTAAATGGTTCATCCTCAACCTCGTCGTTCTATGACAGGCAAGTTTAATGTTAATTGTACACAGCTTGCTCTGAAGATTCATTCTTTCTTTTTTTTCCACAAAGCAAAAAGGAAAAATGTGATAACTAGGGAGGTCACCTGGTTAACTACTGAGAATATTTCTGACTGGTTACACATATTGGTCTGGAGGTTAATTCTGCTTCTCCTCAGTTAACTGCAATGCGCACCACCTGGGTCAGGTGGGAGCTAGCTAGCCGGAACACTCATTCAGCGATAAACACCATTACAATTATGCTCAAGGGGGTTTGCAGCTCAAAATGAAGCTGCTTGCTCACTGGAGCCTGGGAGGAGACTGCAAGGTGGCCAGCATGTTTCTGCAACATGCCAACCTGGTGGCAGGATGGCATTACCAACAGTAATTGCGAATGAGCAGTGTCACTAGCTCGCTCCCAACAGACCCGGGTAGTGAGCTGTGCAGAGCCACCAAGGCTAACTGTAGGCTAACTGTGAGACCAGAGTGTGGGCAATGGGCACACTGTTTCTGCATGTTGGTGTGTCTCTTAAAAGCAGAGCAAAGGAAAACATACACAACAAATATGCAATTTAATTTCAGCTGGACTTAAAAGTCACTGTGGCTATTATACAAGTCTTAAAATGGGAGGCCACAACACTACTAACCACTGGAAAATAGTTGCGAATCAATAGGATGAGGAGATGAGCAAGTGAATTAACCAGATCACAAGGTCGGGAAGCCAAGTGTTGATGTATGAACTCTCATACACTACAACAGTCGTCCTTGGAGTGTACTGCCAAAAGGGGCCTGTTGCAGCCCCAGTATCTTTCCAGGCAAGAGGGCAAACAGCAACAAAGAGGGAAAAATATTACAAATTAACTCACATCTACTATCATTTTACAGCTCTTGCAGGGTCCAATCTGGCCAAACAACTCCAAAATGAGTGCCTCTGTCACGTCCCGGGACAGATTCCCCACATACCTACAATGGACAGAAGACACAGACAGCAGTTTTTACTGTTTTGTGATGTCATTTGTGATGGTGATTTGACAACTTGTGTGGGCGCTGGAGAAAGGGCAAGCTTTACCTCCAGCTATTACATGGTGATAATTATATGAAAATCAAGTCTGGGAGGTAAACAGCACATTAACTCGATCCTGAGGTAGACTTATGCAGCGCTGGTAGATTGTTTTTGTTTACACACATACCTAGATGACTAGATATAGAGGTGTTTGCTTCTCTTGTGTTTTGTTTGAAAAGTTAAGAATAGCTCACCTCATTTGTCAAAATGTTGTGTTTGTATCAGTTTACCTGAGTTTGCCTCTAAACAATTACTGGCTTTGCCTGCCTGATTACAGTAGTGTTAAGCTGCTTCCATTTCCTATCGTGTTTTTTGGTTCCAACATTCACCAACAAAAGCATTGTAAGAATCCTTTTAAGACAGTGGTGTATGTGTAAATGCCAGAACCACACACACACACACACACACACACACACACACACACACACACAGATACCAGCAATAATTAGATTTTCGCTCGACCTGAAGATTTAAGTAAAGTCAAATACCTCAAGACAATAAAATCTCAAGGCTGTTGATGGCAAATAATTCTGTAGTCTGCATTTAATAATCCAAACATGGAGTGCAACTAAGGACAGCCATTGAAATCTCGGCTCCTGCCATTGTCTTACAACACTGCTGGGTTTACACAAATAGATTTAACTTGATCCTACCCAGGAAATAAAAATAACCGCTTTACAAATCCAAATTAACATCAGTATTGGCTAATTAAGGTCACCGGTAACAAAACTATCCACATAAATATGCTCCTAGGCCTGTGTTGTAATGATCCCCTCGCTAAAATACGTTGTGGAAGTGATGGCACACCAAACTCCATATGAAAAGCAGGCATTTCAATGTTCTCCAGCTCATCGTCAGATTTACTTGCAATGTAGAGCAGCCTCAGATACACGAGGCTTGTATGTGCAAGTCACTACTTTATTCGGCAAACACAACACACACCAAACTGCATTTATTTAAGGAACACTTTAATTTTACTTGGTGAGCAGTGTGAACCGACGCGTTAATTTGAGCCTTTTCTGGAATTAATGTTTAACGTTAGTTAGCTAGCTAGCGTTGACGGCCGCGGCGAATTTATCATGTTAGATCATTACGAAGTCTTAAGATATCATTGGGTCGTACTAAATTTAACTCGCATACAAGTGTTGGATTTTTTAATTAAGCTTGAGGTCCAAATCTTAACGTTTTGAGAGTGGAGTGCGCTGTGGATAATACGCTGTTTCTGAATGCTAACTTAGCTACGTGACGGATACAACCGGTTAGCTAACTGTAACGCAGACACACGCACACACTTACAGGGTTTTGGGTTGGTCATCGTCCATTCTGTTTAACTTGCTGGCCGAGAACAAGTCGCAACCCTGAGAGCAAATCCACGACTGTCGCGGGCAGCTGCCTGTGACACTGTCAGGTTATTTTACTGCGCAGTATGAACTGATAAACAGTCGCTGTTAGCTCCAGAGTGAACAATGGGCAGCCGACAAAGATGGCGGAGCAACCGGGGCCGACGCTAAACTCGCATGCGCAGCAGTTCAGCCAACGGCAACATCAAGGCATGTTATAAAATAATGTCAGCCTCTTTTTCTGTTTTCCATAAAGAATATTGGCAATACTTACAGGCCATTAAGCCGTACACCCATAAAAGCTCTAAAGACAGATAAGTGAGCTGATTTTATTGTCTTTTCTCTTATTACCTCCTGTTATTTTCTTGTTCATGTACTTTATCACAGCAGTCTTTGTCTCCTCTGCACCGTGGCCCTACATCCCCTCTAGTAGCCTATTTATCAGGAAAATACAGGATATGCGAGAACGTTGTTGAATATCGCGACAGCAATATTACCTGCGATAAACAGATATTAACTGTTACTGAGGTTTGTCTTACTGCTGCTTTCAGTACACCAAAATACAACAAATTGTTTATTGAATTAAAAATTTAGAAAATTATTTTCAACATTTTATTAAGCAAACTGAACATTTAACTGAACACAAAAGCCACCATGAAAAAAAGAATGATAGTTACATTTTAAAGTGCAGTTTTCTACTGATTCTGTTTCAGCTAAAGAAATTACAAAACATCAGTGTCCTCTGTGTTTATCACGCGAGTTATACACACAGGCCTGGATGATACATAAATTGTGAATGATGAAATCCAAATTTAATAAATATCTTATACGAATCAATGAGGCCCAGGAACTGAAATTCTTTTACCCATATGATGCATTTCATCAGCTGTCAGATAACCATACAAGACCTGCATACACAAGCACTTTTACTGTAATAGGTAGCTCATACCTGTATTCAGTGGTGGATCTTAATACAGGTGATATAGGGTACTACCTATGGTGCCACAACTTTTTTTTTTTGACCAAATAAAAACAAAACAAAAAAAAAAACAAAACATCAACATATGGTGAAGAGAAGACACATAGGCCTACTATTTTCTCTCTCTTTCTTACTATATATAGGGAGGGAGGGGGCGACACCAGAGGAAACTTGCGTTGGCCCCCCAAAGGTGCTAGGTCCAGCACTGCCTGTACCATACGTCTAAGTGTTATGTATTTATTATATGCACAAACATTGCCAATTTGACTCCTTTTGAGGATTCACTGTTGCCTCGTAGTACATACGTTGTTTTTTATGCACTGAAAAACAATTAAAAAAACATTACTTGAAAGAACCATCTCGTGTTTGAAATGTATCTTTGCTACTCAATATGGGCCCATTTGTATCGTCAGAGTTCCAGAATTCCATTCGAGGAACTTGATAGCTGAGAGGCTGAAACAGCTTTTAATTATTCTTTATAAGAGGTAACCTGTGTACATTTTATTGATTCAGTCTGTAATTTGATCCTTAAAGACATGAGCAAGTTGAAAAGTGGCACTAAACTGCTTGATTCATTCATCATGTCTGCAAATAAAAAACACTTTACCTGCATGGTTTTCAATTCACAAGTTTCAGTTATAACATTATTGCACATTTTTATAGATATAACTTGTTTGATTCAGGACTGAGCATTTGCAAAATGCAAATTGTACTCTTACAAGAGACCTGAAATGAGATCAGAAAAAAGATTTATTATCCATGTATATTTTGTTGTATAATCTTATTAGCAGTCGGATAACTCAAATTTCTTCTGATAATAAAAAAAATCTATAAGCCTCTAACTCAAATACAGACAAGTATCAAAAAATTACAGCTAAATTTTACCTTACTGTGAATTGGAAAGTGCTCATGTTGTCAACAATGCTTACCTCACACACAGAACAATACAATTTTCAAGTGTATCCTTTTTCATGCTTTTTTGTGTGTCTGGTAGTTTCATGGAATATCACGTTTTAGAGGTATTTTTATTTTGTAACATATCTGAATGAAGATTTTGCTAAAAACATTAGCCCTTCCAGATGTGTAAAATCAATCAGAATAGAACCAACAGAGTGTTTATAAAACACAGAGAAGAAAAATGTCAACTGTCTTTAAAACAATGGAACCTGAATTTATTGTCGCACCAGGACATTTAAACTACAACTCTGATTTGTCATTAATTTATTTTAAATTAATGACAAATACATAAATTACATTTACCCTAAATTATCTAAAAAACAAAATCCCAAAAAAGTCCAGTGGTTTGTGTGTCTGTACCCTGATGCTGCTACATGCTGCCCGGATGATACAGTCCTGTGCAGCGTATGAGACAGCAGTGTAAACAGAGACGAGTCAAGCTTCTCTGCTCAGTCGCTCCCTCATCTTGGGCAGATGTTGTGGTCTGTGACAAGTTTCTCCATCCTCTTTATCTTGCGTTTGTTCTTGGGCATAGGTTTGTCATACATGCCATTCTTCAGTAGATGCTCCTTGCTGTGATGAATCTGAGCGCCATGCTGCAGCTGGAAGGAGCACAGGGCTTTCAGGGGCCTCAGCAGAACCTGGACACACAAATGAAAAAAAAGGCAGAGTGATGAAAAATACATGATTCTTTTTTTTTTACATCGCAATCTGTGTGTGGTCCAGTAGACATCTACTGTATGTACTGTATGCATTTTGCGTGGGGTAGTTATCCATAGACAGTTTATCACATACAATAGACGTCTGTCAGCATGTCCCCTGTTTGGAGAAGCAGACCAAATTTCGACATGAAAGCTCAGCAAACTCCTGGTGTGGATGAGTCAGCAACAAAACGTATTTTAGCCATCTAAAAAAATCATGATCAGTTTAAGTGTACTCTATATTTAGAATATTTTAATTGCTTTACCTTAATGTCAGTCAGTAAAAACAGTTATTTAACATACCAGGGGTTGGTAGAGACCAAAAACAGAGTTAAAATAAGAGTGAATACCGGAACTACATTCATCAGGTGGACACAAACATGACTTCAAATGAATGCTAATGTTGCTCTGTTACTGCTGGATGTGTAAATAAGCAACCGTTTACTCACATGTTTGCCATATCAGCTGAAAAGGTCATAATACACTATCCATAAACCGGCCAAAAAAATCAGTTGGTGCAACTTTAACGTTCACGTCTGTGGAACAGAGAGCACAGTGCATGGACACAAATCATACAATAATCATAATTATGTCTCCACATCACCTCTTGGATGTCATCATTCCTCTCCAGGATGGACAGGGCAACAGCAGCACATTCCAGCGTGGACAAACAGATGTTGGAGGGTTGTGTGCGGATCACATACTGACTGGACAGAGTCCTCTTGAGCTGCACCTGGTAAACCAAAGCAAGGGCGATCAGTGGTGGTATCCTCTCTCTGTTGACATAAAACTGCCATCTGGATTTTATGGAATATGGTTATAATCCTCACAATTTTTTTCACAGTTTTTATAAGATTTTTGGTCAGCATTACCCCTCTATAAAGTGGTTTTCATTGTAAGTGGCAGCCATTACTATGCTGCATTCAAATCCTCCACACACACACAGGATTGAGGGCTTCATTAATCCAGCTTTACTGTTTTTAATTGTATCTAATTGCCATTAGCCTCATTGTTCAGCCATATCAGAGTCGTATTAGGGTACTGCTAATGCAGACCAAACATTTCCAACTCTGCTTCACATTAAAAGCATTAAACTGGCAAAATACAGAGTGGCTTTTATTGTGAAACATTAAATACTGTAGGGGGTAATAGAAAAAGGAGTAGCAGTCACAGTTTACGAGCCACAAGTGACAGTCTGCAAACCCCCGACTTCTCAGTAAGTTAACCAACTTTTTTGACTGTGCCCTGCTGTAGTGCAGAAAACTTAACTGATTTGATTAAAACAATCAGACATTGTTTGGCTGCACTGTAAAGAGACACACAAGTTGATCCCCTGTTGTATTTCTGACAAAAAAATCGTCTCAAAAGCGTTGAAATTCTGGGACCTTCAATATTAATTTACACTTTTTGTTACCCACTGTAATCAGATGTCGTAGAACCAACCAGGTCTGAAATCTTAAAGATTATAATAATATGTACATTTAAAATAGAGCGACGAAAGCAACATTGAAGCAAAGGAAGAGAAATCAACAGTAGTGAACTGCACACAGTGCTTTGTTTTAAACAATCCAGTTTGTCTCTCATTGCATTTAGCCAGAACACAAAACACTCAGAGAACAAGGGGGAAGAGAAGAAATGTTGAGAAAGTCCACAGTGTTCACTTGCCCACATTTAAGAGACTTTTTTTTATTTAGCTTTGAGTTCAAATTAGTCATTTCATGTGGGTGCAGCAGCTTTCCCACCAGTGGGTGTAATGGGAGAATTTATACCGTCTCAAGTGGACAGGGCACTCGTCTCTATTCCAGCAAGACTCTGAGATTTAAGCTGATATACGAAGATCATTTTAACATAAAAATCTTCCACAGCAAAGCTGTAACTGGCCTTAATGACACCATGGAAGGTTCGTTAACTCTGTCAAAATGAACTTCCTTTTCTCTCAACACCTAACCTCACCCTCTTTAATGTGACATCACAATTAAACACACCTGTTTGGGCAGGTGGAACAGGCTGTTTTTGAGGAACATGTTTTTCGCCTGGCTCCAGGTGCCGTCTATGATGATCACATTGTGTTTCACTGTGCCCACTTCCTGGTATTGCACCAACTCCTCCAGGTTCTGGGATTTGGGACCTGGGTAGAGGATCAGTGTCCTGCTGTCCCGACACACAGCAGCCAGCTCTGGGTGCCTGAGAGAAAAGATGGGAGACAAATATATTAGATAATTATGTGCCAGTGGTGTTGCTTTGATGTGAAATCAGTGTGCTAACAAGAAATACTGCTTACTTTTCCTCATTGAATCTCCTTCCCACTATGACGTTGCATTTTCCTTGTGGCAAACATGCAGCAAGTAGAGGCACTGTACGAAGCACTCTGCTCTCCTAAAACACACTCCACGTTAGAATTGCTCATCATAACCATGAGCTGAATAATTGTCATTAACTGGCATGTTGGAGTTTCTTTCTTTTTTAAAGGTGCATAGTGGATTGCAGCTCATTTAATATTTGGTTTGAGGACACACAAACGCTTGCATTCTCCAACCAGAATTAAATACATTCATAACCAAATTTGATCCTTATGCTTTCCAAAAGCCTGACAAAACAATGATGATTGCATTATGTCCACATCACAGCATTACACATGTACTGTGTATGTGTGCAGTAAAAATCATCTCATTCATTTAAGCTATTGTCAACAAGTACTGATAAATATTGTATAGGTTTTTTTGCCCATTATCCTCGACTGCCAAGATGCTTTAATAGTGAAATTTTCCACTGGGATTAATAAAGCATGTATATATGTACCTATCTAAGAACACTAGAATGTATTACATTGAATGGAAATTGAAATTAGACTATATTTAAATCTCTAACCACAAAAATAAAATAAATATTGCATGTCAATACCTTTAAAAGGACAGTTCACCCCTGAATCAAAAAATACATATTTTTCCTTTTACCTTCAGTTTTATTCATCAGTCTAGATTGTTTTGGTGTGAGCTACTGAGTGTTAGAGATATCAGAAGTAGCAATGTCTGCCCTCTCTGGAATATAATGGAACAAGATGGCACTTGGCCTGTGGTGCTAGAAGTGCCAAAAAATACATTTGAAAAATCATGACCTGTTTCTTAAGATAATCTACAGAACTTGTTGTGAGCAGTTTCATGTAGGAACTATTTTCTTTCTACTGAAATACACCCAGCAATCATGTCACTGTGCAGAAGGAAGCGTACATCTACTCATGGACGAGAGGCTTGTGGTCCAGAAAGTTAAATCATTAAAATAGTTCCTACGTGAAACTGCTCACAACAAGGTCTGTGGATAATCTTGCATAACCAGGTCATGATTTCTGGAGAGAGACATTGCTGTTGAGTTTGACAAATGTATTTTTGCTGGCACTTTGAGCACCACAAGCTGAGTGCCATCTAGTTCCATTACACTGGAGAAAGAAGGCAGACATCTCTATGGCTGATATCTCTACCACTCAGTAACTCACACCAAAACAATCTACACTGAAGACTAGCACTACAGGTAAGTGGGTAAATATGTGTATTTATTTTGGGGTGCACCAAGACTGAAATATAGTCACCAAAAAATACATTTTGGGCTCATGAACACTGTCCTTTGCTGTCTTAGCTTATACATATACATAGGAGCTTTATATTGGACAGATAATATTACATACTGTACATCACCTTTTAATCAAATTGTATAATTTATATATTCATTCTCCAAAATAGAGTCCTGGGCACTGTCTGCAGATTTCTGTCAATCATTTGGACAGCTTATGTAGGGCTCTAGAGGTCTATCTAAATAAAATGAGGTGTGTATCTTTCAAACTTTATGGTATATAACTCCCTCTCATGTGTTTCTATGCTGAGTTGCAGTGGAGAAAATTTAGTCCTAAAAAGAATGTACCTTTGGAAATTATGCACTTGATTGTTTAAATCAGACTGATGAAACCTCATACAGATTTCAAGTAAACTTGAGAAAACATTCATAAGTATCAAGATCTGTGGATTTGGTCCTGCATTACTGCATTACTGACATTAAAATTACACAAGGATGATAAAATAAGAGATAATATAAAGCAGAACGTTATTTATCCTTATGGAAATTGTTGCACAGCAAATATAAAATAAATCATATCAGATATCAATAAGGTGCAATTTTAAAATATGCACACAATGCCAAACACAAACAGCTTTACTGTAAGGATTATAGCTATGTATGAGAAGAGGCATAGCTCTGTATGTATATATGTCAAGTACAGCTAAGGGATATCTATGTGTTTATGACTGCAGCAACAAAAACTGTTTCATTGGAGACATATGTGAACCTATGTACCTAACCCTCAAAGGTAGACATTAATAGCGTGATGCAGTCTCTAGTATTGAACATGCATGTTATATTTGACATGTAATAACTCACCTCTGCAGGATGCTGCACTACATACAGACATGTGGAGACCTCCAGGGGTTGTGGTGGGAGAAAGGGACAGAGACACACCTTCTGCGGGCGACTACATGGGAGGAAAGTTGAAGATGTGAGGCTGTGATTGCCAAGTTATTTCCCAGCCCATTGCCCCCATCTCTTTATTTCAGCTGGTCTTGAGCTTTTGTTGTAACGATATTAATCCTTTCCCTCATTAAAACATGCAAGTTACTTGAGAAGGAGAAGGGGAAGAGGAGAAGGATATCTGTCCTGTCTGGTCCAACCACTCTAACTTGTTAGCTAGCTAGCATTAGCTTCACTTTAATTCACCTCACCGGCACCGTAAACACGTCGGTCTTCTCTCGCCAACCTCGACCGGGAGGGCAGCCAGGTCGCCAAAACCGTCGATTAATCCGGCTTCCGTCGATGAGTTGTCACCGATGTCTGGTCCATTTTCTTCGGAAGAGACTGACGGGCAAAAACTGGAGACATTGTCCATTGCGTTAGCAGAAAGCTAACTTATCCCAAGTACTCAAACACAGCGCCGAGGAGGAACTCTTAGCATAGAAATACAGCAACTAGTAAGACGGAGAACCGGTTTGCTAGCTAATAGTTTTAATTAAAAAAAAGTTAATATCCTCTCGAGGCGCGACTTAGTTCTTTTAATTAATTTTATTGCACTCTCTTTATATAATATGACGTTAGCTCTCACCATCCCGAATCGATTATTATAGTAGTAGCATCCAAGGCTACGTTCACAGCCACAGGAATATATTAGGTAACTAGCTATAAACGTCAGTCAGCTTTAAAATATATATCAAGAAAACAAACACCCCAACATATTTTGTTAGTGTTTTAATTTTGATAATTGTTTACTTAATTTAGTCGGGGAAATTGGCCAAATATATACGTTTCTTAGCTACATAAATTGGCATATCCACTCTATCTACTGTACTTCTATAACCTTAATGGTAGGCTACTGACTCACAGCTGCCACCTGTCGACGTGGAGGGAAATAAAGGAATTTAAAAAGTTTAAAAGATATGAAAGTGGTGATTTATAACACTGGATGTCGCCAAAGCCCGTTTAAACTGATAATAAGTGGTCAAAATAACAACCATAATAATAATAGTAATAATAATAATAACGATAGCAATCTGAAACTGCACTTTTACATCTTTTTTAAGTAATTGTTTATTGTTTTGTTAACAATTAGCACAGTGCAATCAAGACTAACCTACAAATAGTCCAATTATTACGATATACACTGTCCACAAATGTCAAAGAATAGTCTGCTATATCATGACTGAAATAGCAGGGCTCCACCTTCTCAGGATTTTTTCCCCCTCTGGAGCCTCAAGTTATGTGTTATTGTTTCCATATTGACTAAAATGTTGGCACAGTGAGATTAAACCAGTGTAGAGTGATTCCTCTCTTCAGTGTTGTGTGTGGTGTGTGTTGTTTTAAAATATCTCAATCCTAGTTTTCATCTAAATTCTCACCAACTGTGAAAGTAAGGTGCGATCAGGTGCGATTCAGAACAGATGTCCTCTTAAGCTTACCTCTCTTTAGATGTTGTTTTCTGGTATACACATTTGCTTTTGCACGTATGCACTGTATAACTGGGAGTTTCCTCTTCAAGGTCAGCAGGCACAACAGGGATCACTGCTGAGCTCCAGATGGGACCCGTTGGATTCAGGCCTAGAGGCAGCAGTATCTGGTAAATACTGCGCTGCCCTGTCCAAAAACAGCTCATTTTGACTGGCTAAAAGGCGTCTAGACACAGTCACAAATTAGTGTTTTGCCTTGTGTTGGTGTGGATAGTGTAGGAGCAAATACATACAGTTAAAATGTTTTAATTTAGCATATATTGTGGTTATTGTGGTTTTGGAAAACACCAAGAACCAAACGAAGAATATGCACACATTGGCACGTTTTGCACGACTGTTTACAAGAGGGTACATGGACTCCTAGCTGAGACGAGGTGTCAGGTTAACAGCCAGAGAGGCTTATTTATAGCTAAAGATTCATACTAACGTCACACCAACACCGACACATGCACTCTCACCCTTTTTATTCACACTCGTGACCCAAACCTCTCTCTTCAAACACGCTATGATTCATGCATTACCGCAACCCGTCCACACTGCAGAGATTCGATTACTCTGGAAAAAAAAAGTAAAATATCCTCCTCTGGATATTGCATCAATGTGTGACTGTTTCAAACAAAAAAAATGACTTCATGTAATAGTACAGCCAGGTACAAATGGACACAAATGATAAAAACTACAAACTACACTGTACAAAAATTAAATGCAACACTGCAACATTAGCTCTACGACTTCTTTAATGTACTCAATAGTTGCATCTGTCAAATTTGGTTGCAAACCTATTAAAATCCATGTTAGTGAGCACTTCTCCTTTTCTCCAAGATAGTCTATATACCTGACAGGTGTGGCATATCAAGATGCTGATCAAACAGTATCATTACTACACAGGTGTTCCTTGAGAAGGTCAAAATTAAAGGCCACTCTACAATGTGCCGTTTGATCACACAACACAATGCCACAAATGTCCCAAGTTTTGAGGGAGCGTGCCATTGGCATGCAAGTCAGTGTTCATTTCACTACTATAAGACATCTCCGGTGTTTTTTCTGTGAATTTGGCAGTACATTCACCCAACCTCACTAAACAAGTCAGTTATGATGACTGCTATCAGGTCAAGACCCTGGTGAAGACAATGAGCCTGCAGATGAGTTTCCCTGAAACAGATGCTGACAGTTTGTGCAGAATACTTGACTTTGTGAACCACTTGTTGCATCAGCTGTTCGAGTGGCTGGTCTCAGACAATCTTGTAGGTGAAGACACTGGATGTAAAGGTCCTGAGCTCATGCAGTTACATGTGGTCTGCCGTTGTGAGGCCAGGTGGATGTACTGCCAAATTCACAGAAATGGCATTGGAGGCAGCTTGTGGTAGTGCAATTAACATTCAGTTCAGGCATTGTGTTGTGGGATCAAGCTGCACATTTTGGAGAGGCACACACACCTGTGTAGTAATGATGTAATGAATAATGAAATCTATCTATTGAGTGCATGAAAAAAGTCTTAGATCTTAGACCCAAACCTGTAAAAAATGGGTCCAAAAACAAAACATTCAGATTTTTGTTCATTATATTTAGCACTTTTAAAGTACAACATTTCAAGAGTGTACCCCAGTTGATTGTGGGCTAATTCTACTGTGATTTTAAAAACCTTGATTGAAGAAAAATCAACAAACCATTTGACAATAAACTTATTGAAAACACTGTAGCGCAGTTAAAGTATTACACACTGTCCTTTGCCTTTAGCTGGTTCAGTTGAACTATCATCTTGCTTCTCTGGATGAACCTCTGTTTCGGCCATTTCTGATGACTTAATACCTACTTCCTCTGGTTCAGTTTGTTTTGTAGCTGCTTCAGTCTCACTTGTTTTCTCTTCTTCTACCATTTTAACGTCTTTCTCCTCAGCTGCAGTGGGTTCTGTGTTTTCAACAGCTATTTCATTATCCGCTACACTCTCAGTTTGTGGGGATTCCACTTCAGCCAAGGCATTTTCCAATAGTGCAACACTGGAAAGCTGCATCGTTTCCTCTCCATCTCCCTCGTCTGCAGTCTCTGCCGGTGATGCAGTTTCTTTCTCCTCTTCCCTCTGCTCCTTTCCACCAGCCTCTTCTTTTTCCTGCATAATGACCTCAACTGGAGTCAGTGGTGTTAGGTCCAGACATGCCTTAAGAGGAGAAGTTGCCTTTCTCCGCGGGGGAGCTACTGGCTTTTCGATTTCTGAATCTTGTCTCCACAGTTTCTGATCTGTACTGACATCTTTCTCGTCCAGAGATTCAAGATGATCATCTATACTTCCCCAGTCTGGTTCCCCTGAGAGAATCTCAAAGCTTGATACGCTCAGTGGATCGACTGGGATTTTAGCCTCTTTTTCTACCTTTATGGTGACATTTTTGTTTGTCTTGTCTTTACTCTTTGTAGTTGATTGGGTTTCATCCTCTTCCAGTGATCGAGGGAAAGGTTCTACATCACATGGAGAAGAATTGCCACTGGACCTGAAGAAGTCTGTGATTTCCTCTTCTGAATTTGGCATCTCACCTTTTTCATGCTTGGTCAGCAACTCGACAAGATCATACAAACCTTGGGATAATACCCGAGGACCTTCCTCTGGGCATTTCCCTTTATCAGATGGCTCCACTTCCAACGCAGGAGTCTCATCTATAAGGACGTATTTCTCTAGATATCCCCTGGCCTCTCGGTCTGAATGCCTGCTGTGAAAAGACTTCTCAGACGTCATACTTTCTGTGTCCTCTTCTTTTTTCCGACTGCCGATCGCTTCCTCGTACAGGTCTGTGTAAAGGAAAGCCATGGCTTTGGGCTCCTCCAGCAAAATTTGATCAATAATTTTGGGAGGTCCTTCAGGTAGAAAGATTGGAGTCAGGATGTCCTCTTGGCTTCCAAACAAAGTCGATCCGCTTGGTTTTGAAGGGTGCTTCGGGAGCACACCATGTTCATCCTCTTTGTCTAGACTTTTAATGACATAGTTGTCTGTACCAGCGTAGAAGACCTCATCTAGAAGCTCACTGGTGATTTCTTCTAGGCTGATTGTGTCTGACTTGTCAGTGTCCACAGTTGTGGTGGTGTTGTCTTTTGACTGCGCAGGTTTCTTGGCGTCTTGGATCTGAGTTGCAACCTCTGCCTCTTGCTCCACCTGTCCCTGTGCGATCACAGCAGGACTTCCTGGAGCTTGAGCATCAATCAAGGTGAATGCCTCAAAGTAGTCCACATTGCCAGCAGCTCCTCTGCCTGGAGGTCTGGCCACTGGAGCCCCTGGTGGATCCATTATATTTGTACCTACAAAAGACGAGGGCACGACCTGGTCACCTCTTGCTGCGTCTGATGCTGCAACCTCCATCTCGATATCATGAGTGTCTACACTGGCTTTAGGAACAAGGCTCTCTTCCAGATAGGAAAGATTGTCCACCATTTCTTTGCTCTCCTCTTCATCCACAGTATCCAGTTTCGGAGGAACAACAATGTTAAGGATTTCAGAGCCCTCACACACTAAACTGAACAGTTTTTTATCTACCGGAGGATCACTTGCTTCATCTTCATTTCCTTCTTCAGTTTTCACATTTGGCTGTGACACTTCTACCAACTCTGGCCTTCCTGAGATGTTCTCATAATTTTCTGTAAGGACTTCTCGCTGTTTGTCCATCTTGCTCTTCTGATTTACCCTCTCCTTAGGTTTCTTCCGTCTTGAAATCAGCTCCTCATCCATGACAAAGATTATCTTTCCAGCTGGAACAGACCCAGGTGTTGCAGGTCGCGCTGCAACCAAAGAGCTGAGATCCACAGCTGGGTTTCCAACTTCAGATGCCCATGGCGTGGTGCAGCGGCTAGGGGTCGTCTCCCATGCGATCCCGCTGTCCTCGCCTTGCATAGTTACCATGGAGAAGGAGGAGTCCATCATCAGGCACTGCATCTTAGGCCGGACATTGTCATCGTGGACAGCCTCGCGTAGACTAAAGGCAGAGAGACAATATGGCAGTGAGATAAACAAACAGCGTTTATGTTGATGTCTGTCCCATGGCTTTTTCATTGGGCCTCATGCAAGAACAGTTTTATATACTTATTCTTACTCATACACTTCCTTCACACCCTGGACACAACATGTTCCAATTCTCCCCTCTGGTTTTCATTTTTTCTTTTTACTTACTGATTGAATGTCAAAGTATTGGCAAATGTTTCTATAACTTTTGTCATACTCTACAGGCTAAATAACAAGCACCTTTCTTTACCCTCTATATAATGTAATACAGTTCAGCAGAACTACAAACTACATCCTCTAAAATAAAAATAAAGTTTAATCAACACCTTGCTAACACATTTTTAACCTTCATGAAGGGGGAACTTATTGTTTTATTTGACTGCATTAGTCGTAGCAAGGTGTACCTAATAAACTGGCAACTGAGTGGATTTACATGCACTCAAACACTCAGCCAATCACACACACAGGTTTATGGCACTACTGGAATTTCATACCATTTCATACGGCAATGGATCCAATTTCTTTCTGTGAAATAAACTTTTCCCTCTGAGCAACTTGTGATTGTCAAAAATGAAACTATAAAGCAAACCTTTACAGAAAACTTTGACTCCTAGCTGCAACGATATCAGCACAATATTAAAAATTACTGATCTATACCTGTTTCTGAGGTCCTCCACCTCATCACTGGCCTCTGGGTTTTGTTCAGTGATATCTTCAGTTGTCAGCGCAGTCATCTCAGCGTCCACATCTGACCTCGACACATCTTCTGTCAGAGTATCCATTGTTGTTATATCCTGATGAATTTGCTTGCGCCTCTCACCACAACTCAGCGCTGCTCTGTTGATCACATTTTAAGCCAAGCGTGCTCCAGTCGAGTCTTCAAGCTCAGCAGTTATCTTGAAATAGAAAACTGGTCTTCCAGTGTTTCATCTGAAGCATTTGCAACATGTCGGGAGGTTAAGCTGTCATCTGTTCACACTGGCTGAACCCTTGCATTTGGCATATACAATAAATAGGTTTATCTGGGTTAATTAGTTGTAGCCTGGGACTAATTTGAAGTGTAAAAAAGTAAGTGCCTTGGTTTTTCTTTTCCTGCCAGATCTAAATATAATATTTAGAGGATATCCGATGTCATGAGTCTGTCTATAAGACTGTCAAGCAGGTTGGAAGTGTTCAGTTTGGTTTTTAGTTGTGCACAGCCAATAAGGGCTCAAACAAATCCCATATTAAGCTTTAGCAGTTGACTGTGAACTGATTAGGAAAGCAAAATGCATAAATAAATAAAATAAATAACACACTTCAATAGCTCCCCAACACACTTCAATGGGCTTATGTGCTAATTTAATGTTAAACAGAAATGAGCATAACATATTTAAAAATCCTCTTTTCTCAACTCTTGATCCACACCTCTATGAAAATGTCGACCCCACACCTGTTTATGTCTGTCTCACAGCATGACAGGGATACTACATGGGAAATCAAAGACTGGAGGAGTTGGGGAGGGTTTTAGTTATAGTCAACAGGTTGTTTCTGGGCAAACACTGTCCTCATGTGTAAACTAGTCTGGCACACCTTCTGTGAATCATATACTTGCCCAATAGATCTGATAAATGGGCTAAACATGCAATTTCTGCTACCAATGTTTTTGCATATTCAGCTCATCTAACAAACTAACGCTGAACATTATCATTCAGTAATACCAGTGGTGGAAGAAATACTTCAGTGTTTTACTTGAGTAAAAGTAGAAATACTACAGTGTAAATACTCTGTTCAAAGTAAAAAGTCCTGCATTCAAAATCTTACTTACTAAAAGTACAAAAGTAACAGCATTAACATATATTTAAAATACCAAGAGTAAAAGTCCTCATTGTGCAGAATGGCCCATTTCAGAATAATGCAAGTTATATTATTGGATTATAATTATTGGTGCGTTAATGTGTTCATTAGTTTGATGTTGCAGCTGGTAAAGGTGGAGTTCATTTTAATTACTTTATATACAGCTGGTTGGTTTATTCTATAATAACGTGATCATTTACTTGTTGATTATTATTTTGTTTTAATAATCAAAATATGCAAAGTAACTTAAGTTATCAAACAAATGTAGTGGTGTGAAAAGTGCAATGTTTGCTTTTTAATGTAGTAGAGTAAGTACTAAGTAGCATAAATAGAAATACTCAAATGAATTACAAGTACCTGCTCCTCAAAACTGAACTTCAGTACAATACTTAGTTACTTAGATACTTAGTTACTGATCAATTGTTTGGTCTTCCTCACAATAACATTGGAAAAAATGTCCATCCCAGTTTCTCAGATTTCCCTTTTATCGAAGTGATAAAAGTATCTGTGCACCGCCTATATCAATAACTGTCCACAAGGTGGCAATCATCAGTAGCATATAGTATGTTTCTATATGTTCAACTATAATACACTGCTCAAAAAAATAAAGGGAACACTAAAATAACACATCCCAGATCTGAATGAATGAAAAATTCTTATTAAATACTTTGTTCTTTACATAGTTGAATGTGCTGACAACAAAATCACACAAAAATTATCAATGGAAATCAAATTTATTAACCCATGGAGGTCTGGATTTGGAGTCACACTCAAAATTAAAGTGGAAAAACACACTACAGGCTGATCCAACTTTGATGTAATGTCCTTAAAACAAGTCAAAATGAGGCTCAGTAGTGTGTGTGGCCTCCACGTGCCTGTATGACCTCCCTACAACGCCTGAGGGATCTCCTCCCAGACCTGGACTAAAGCATCCGCCAACTCCTGGACAGTCTGTGATGCAACGTGGCGTTGGTGGATGGAGCGAGACATGATGTCCCAGATGTGCTCAATTGGATTCAGGTCTGGGGAACGGGCGGGCCAGTACATAGCATCAATGCCTTCGTCTTGCAGTTCCTGCAAGACGAAGGCATCAATGCCTTCGTCTTGCAGGAACTGCTGACACACTCCAGCCACATGAGGTCTAGCATTGTCTTGCATTAGGAGGAACCCAGGGCCAACCGCACCAGCATATGGTCTCACAATGGGTCTGAGGATCTCATCTCGGTACCTAATGGCAGTCAGGCTACCTCTGGCGAGCACATGGAGGGCTGTGCGGCCCCCCAAAGAAATGCCACTCCACACCATTACTGACCCACTGCCAAACCGGTCATGCTGGAGGATGTTGCAGGCAGCAGAACGTTCTCCGCGGCGTCTCCAGACTCTGTCACGTCTGTCACATGTGCTCAGTGTGAACCTGCTTTCATCTGTGAAGAGCACAGGGTGCCAGTGGCGAATTTGCCAATCTTGGTGTTCTCTGGCAAATGCCAAACGTCCTGCAAGGTGTTGGGCTGTAAGCACAACCTCCACCTGTGGACGTCGGGCCCTCATACCACCCTCATGGAGTCTGTTTCTGACTGTTTGAGCAGACACATGCACATTTGTGGCCTGCTGGAGGTCATTTTGCAGGGCTCTGGCAGTGCTCCTCCTGTTCCTCCTTGCACAAAGGCGGAGGTAGCGGTCCTGCTGCTGGGTTGTTGCCCTCCTACAGCCTCCTCCACGTCTCCTGATGTACTGGCCTGTCTCCTGGTAGCGCCTCCATGCTCTGGACACTACGCTGACAGACACAGCAAACCTTCTTGCCACAGCTCGCATTGATGTGCCATCCTGGATGAGCTGCACTACCTGAGCCACTTGTGTGGGTTATAGACTCCGTCTCATGCTACCACTAGAGTGAAAGCACCGCCAGCATTCAAAAGTGACCAAAACATCAGCCAGAAAGCATAGGAACTGAGAAGTGGTCTGTGGTCACCACCTGCAGAACCACTCCTTTATTGGGGGTGTCTTGCTAATTGCCTATAATTTCCACCTGTTGTCTATTCCATTTGCACAACAGCATGTGAAATTGATTGTCAATCAGTGTTGCTTCTTAAGTGGACAGTTTGATTTCACAGAAGTGTGATTGACTTGGAGTTACATTGTGTTGTTTAAGTGTTCCCTTTATTTTTTTGAGCAGTGTATATTAGTCTTACGTTATAGTAAATTGCACATTACTGGGTTTTGGACAGTTTGGGAAAAACAAAGACATCTGAAGACGTCTCCTTGTGCTCTAGGATATTGTGTTAAGTGGTACTTTTCATTGTTTCTAATCTTTTATAGACCAAATGAAATCAGTCTTTAACAAAAATAATCACAACTTTTAGCCCGTGTAGAAAATGTGAAGGTACATCCGGTTGTGCGGGATGGGAGTGCCATTTTGTGAGGGGGCGGTGCTGATTTCTCTCTTCCCAAAGTGTATGCACTCAGTCAAAAAGTGAGACAGTTCACCATGTCCGGGTATGTGAGTGGAGGCAGTGCATCAGCATCTGTAATTCAGCCTTGGGCTACCAAGTCACAACACCCCTTAACTGTTGGATTGCTGTTAACTAAAGCCTCAAGTGGCTTTTATAAAATGGTTACTACATATACCTGGCAAAGTCTCACAGCAACAGACTATAATTACTGCCTCATGTTCGCACATTCTCTGCCAACCAGTCATGTTGCAGTTTACTTCCATGTCTGTCCTGACACATATATGTAGTGAAGAACTTAAAGGAATCTGTTAGGTGTTAAGTGTATTTTTTGGCAAAACATGGATGTTTCACACACATCGTCCAGCCCAGCAGCACAGATCTATATAATCAGCAGTTTCACCATGGACACCCAAGATTACTGTCACCAATTCAGTATCTGACCAAATGTTTCCCCTTCTATTATACATTTTGACATTGAATTAATGGCCAGAAAAGTATTTTGCAGAACATTTTGATGTCACAGTGAAGCTGACCTTTGACCTTTTGGATATAAAATGTCATCATTTCATTTTATCCTGTAAGATATTTCTGTCAAATTTTGTCAAATGTATGTATGAATTCTTGAGTTATGGCCAAAAACATGTTTTGTGAGGTCACAGTGACCTTGAACATTGACCTTCGAACACTAAATTCTAATCAGTTCATTGCTGAGTCCAAGTGGACGTTTGTGACAAATTTGTGGAAACTCCCTCTAGACCTTCTCAAGATATCGTGTTCACAAAAATGAGATGGATGCATGGTCACAGTGACCTTGACCTTTGACTACCAAAATCTAATCAGTTCATCATTGAGTCCAAGTGAACATTTGTGCCAAATCTGAAGAAATTCCCTCAAGGTGGAGGTGGACGGACAGACAACCCCAAAACATAATGCCTCCAGACACGGCTGTAACTGCTGTGACACCAACTCAGTATCTGACCAAACGTCTCCCCTCCTGAGTTATGACATTGAGTAATGGCCAGAAAAGTGTTTTTGAATATAAAATGTCATCACATCACACAACTTTTTATCTCATTAGACATTTATGTGAAATTTTGTCGTAATTACCATATGAAATTTTAAGCTATGGCCAAAAAGGTTTTGTGAGGTCACTGTGAACTTAGACCACCGAAATCTAATCAGTTCATGGTTAAGTCCAAGAGAATGTTTGTGGCGAATTTAATTTCTCAATGTATTGAGATAGCTTGTTTGCAAGAATGGGACAGACGGAGAACCCAAAAACATAATGCTGGTATTTTTACCTCTGACCATCCTCGTCCTGGTGGATGACAAATTATTTGGGCTTCAGTTGGCGGTTGCCCCTTTTAGCTCTGCATCCCATTTCACAATAGGCGACTAATTGTCTTAGTAATACTGAAACTGTAATGCGGTCGCAGCTGTGTTAAACAGCAGCTTTGAACACTGCTCAGCCAATCATAATCTAATGTAGTTTTAAGCAGATATAAGTTAATTAATGCATTTGTCAAAAGATAAATCTCCTTACTTTGCAGTATATTGTTATAGATTGAGCCTAACCAACTTTACTTTTTGTAATTTAAGTATATTTTGATGCCAATATTTTTTTGTATTTTTACTGAATCTTTTAAAAGCAGGATTTTTACTTGAAAGTAGAGTATTCTGAGTATTTTTACACTGTAGTATTGCTACTTTTATTTTTAAAATCTCTGAATACTTCTTCCACCACTGGAAGCCAATGTGCAACATGATCAGAGTGCTAACTGTGAAAGAACGACACGACTGCATGATTTTCATTTGGTTTTGTTTTACTATAAACTCAAAATTACAATTTGTGTTTTGAAGCATGTGGTATAATCAACATTTAAAAGTCTTATTCAAATGTTTTTTTTCCCTTTCAAGCTGTAATACTCATCATGATAAAGTCACCGCTAAAATCATTCAAGTCTCCCAAATGTACCCGAACCAACAACAAGCCCTTAAATAGTGTTCTTCAGGTGTATATACTATTCCTCTTAACATCGCTGAATTTTTGGCAATAGTAAATCCCACGAAAAATAAAGTACCACTAGTCAGCTACCGTTGATGCATCTCTGTACCAAAGGCAACATCAGCAAAAATTCAAATCTGTACAGGAAAACGTTATTTGGCAAAAGAAAAGATTCTCTGCAAATCCAACCTGCCATCGCCTTCTTTATATTCTCATTTCCTTTTTCATAAATAGTTCAAAAATATTGCCAGTTTTTCAAAAAGGAAAGAAAACTGCCTCGACAGCCATGTACCAGACAATAAAAAAAGATTAAGTGAAAACAAGATGTAAATAAAGATCTTTGCTTTTGTACAACTTTCATCATCATTTTCAGTCACGGTTAAGTAATAAATTAACAAACAAAAAGGATTCAATCATTGCACTTCAAGTCGCAACAGAAACAAGAGGAGAAAGAAAGATCCACTCATACACACAAACTCCAGTTTTACAAGTGCACTATGAATTTGTTATATTCTTTTAAAAAAAAGTGTATAGAAAGAAAGTGAATAAAATCTCGCCTGTGGACTAAACATATTCGAGAGAGGAGTAAAATTACCTGAAAGTGAGAGTGGAAAGTGTTTATTTACCCTCTGATGCTCCCTTTTTTGTATTGCTCATATATTGTATAAGAATATAAGACAAAGTCCTCTCTGGCCGTTTGTTTTTTTGGCAGTCCCTCGGTGGATTTCAATCACAGGAGGAACGTTTGTCTCTTTAAGACATTCGAAAGTGACCCGACACCCTCCAGAGTTCAAATAACTAAAAATTAATCAGAGTGTAGGAAAAGCTCGAGTCCTTCTCATCTGACTCCAAGTGTTCATTTGGCTGACGATGAATTAAAGAAGATGGGGGAGAAAAATCACCGGCTCCAGGTGACTGCAGAATGCACCAAAGCGAAACTCGAGAAAAGAAAAACGCAGCTTGTTTTTTATTAATTAAAGTCTGCGTGATTGCTGGAGCAAAAACAAAAAATTTCCCCACAAACGGAATGATTTTCAAGAAACAAACCAAAAAAAATCTGATTTAAGAAAGTCAAGAATATTCCAGAGTGGAGCGGAGGAAAGGCATGGTCCAAGCAAAGCCTCTTTCACTTGGCTTGTTTGTAAACGTGTACTGTAGCAAAAAATGTGTGTACCGTTAATGCATAAAGTTGTGTGTAAACCTTTACACGTATACATGTGGGAAATTAATTTCAAGTTACATGTCGGTGATGATGTGCCAACATGCAGGTGGTTTCTTCTCTGAGCGCTGGCTGTGGTGTTGGTGGTGCTGTTGGTGACGGTGAATTCGCCTCTTTAGCTGCCCTCGATGAGCTTACCCAGCGTGTCTCGCAGCTCTGTCAGCTCGAAAATCTTGCCGTCCAGCAGCTCCAGCAGCGAGCGCAGGCTCTTGCGGAAGGCTTCCCTCTCCTGCTGGTTGCTCTCTAGACGCTGCTCCAGATCGCTTAGCTGGGCCTCCAATGTCTGGTTCCTCTACTCCGTGTCCTGAAGACAAACAAGATCATCAGTTTATTTAAACAGTGGTTCTCAAACTCTTAAACCATCCAAAGTTTTGATCAACTTTTTTTTTTCACATTTTCACAGTCGTGTAAAATGTGTGGAAACAATGCACTGAAACAATTCTGATAGCTCTAATTACTCCTCCTGTTTATACTCACCATTAAAAACTCAAACTAATAGATCTCTTCCTGATGTGCTTTTAGTGTAAATGATGAGGGACAAAATCCAGTGCCCCAGTTTTGTTCAAAAATATATTAAAATAACATTTACCTAAAGCCGATATGAGGCGTCAGCAGTCTGAATTAGACAAGTCCTCCAAAGGTATATGTTTTTAGCACAAAATTCCCTCTTTTTGTAACTGTCATTCCACTGCAGCTCAATAGGGAAATGCTGTATGAAGGAAATTTTATACTGAAAAAGAGTAACTGTGGAAGCTGCACCAGCAAACTGAAATGCATACTACTGCAATAAATGGTTAAAACCTTGAGGTAAGCATCCTGGCTGAACATAAACTCTAAACTAAGGCACGTCTGATTTTTTTAGTGGGAAATGCTGCATTCATGCCATGTTGGCAGGAAGATGTGACAACTATCGCCCCTACTAATACTGGATTTTTCCAATGTTGATATAGAGTGTTAAAATGACCATTTCTATATCCATTTCTCACCACCTTTTGACATTGAAGAAAACTTTGTTTTTCTCACGTTTATTCTGGTGAATAAAAATCCAGAAATAGAGGTCTGTGTTAAACAACAGAAAAACTATATCAAAACATCTGTTAAACTCTCACTCAACTCACGCAGTTTATTCCAAGTCTCATTTATCCAGTCATATATGCTCAGTACTTCCCAAACAGACAGCTCTTTCCCTCTGGGAACTGACCTGAAAGTGAAACTTATCTATGCTCTCTTCAAAACCAGACTGTAATTTCACCTCGCTGTACATGGGAGCTGCTCGTCTACCACTGCCTTAATCGGAAGTTTGTTTGTGTAATTGTACGACTTTGGTGAAGCCAAACTAACTTTTTAAAAACACCGAAGTCACACAATAGCCAAGACAAACTAACTGATCAAGGCAGGAGTAGACCAGCAGCTCCTGTGTTCAGCAAGATAAAAATAGCGCTTTTGTCAATGGAGTCTGGCTCTGAGGAAAGCATAGATAAGTTCCACTTTTACTTCAGTTCACCATCGGAAAAGGCTCTCTGTTTGGGAAGTACTGAGCATATGACTGGATAATACTGCACAAGTTGTGTGAGAGCTTGTAAATGGACACTTTGATATACTTTTGCTGTTGGTGAACATGGACCCCTATGACTTCAATTCATTTGGAATTTTCTCTGTTCTTGGATTCTTCTTTCAATGTGGAGGCATGCATGAAAATCAAAGTTTTCTTCACAAAATCACCATAGCATGGTGTGAGTGACTGATATAAAAACGGTCATTTGGGAAGTGAAGCATTCCTTTAAAGAACTGTAATAAATACACTGTTTCTGAATTAACTAAAGCTTGTTTTAGCATTTCTGAACTGAAATGTCTTGTTACTTGGGCGACACACGTGAAAATTCTGATAAATGTACAATAAGCTAATATCGCCCAACATATCAATGTCACTCTGGTGAAATCTTTTTGTTGTTACTACTTGTGTGATGGTTAGCTCTTCTGCTGGATTTTATTTATACTGATCTGTTGTTGCAGCCAATTTGGCACCAGTTTGTGGAGACATCTAGGTGCTTTTCACAAACTGGGAAATATTGAAGCTGTCAAAAATTCACCTTATTTGGAGTCTGAGTTAAATTTGCAGTTAATTTACAGTCTGTGGAATCTGACCTGAATCAGCTGCAGGTGTTACTGTGCGTACACCTGCATTACTCACTTGTAGTTTCTGTGTAAGGGAGTCTTTTTGAGACTGAAACTCGTTGGCACTCTCCACTTCTGCTTTGAGTCTCTCCAACTCCTGAAGTAAAGAGAGTAAATATTGAAGATGTGTAATACAGCTCAGTACACAAACACATCTACCTAAAACACTCCTCCACGTACCTCCTCCTTGGCTTTCAGAGCCGACTCCAGCTCTTCTATCGTTTGGTTGAGTTCTGTCTTTTGGGATTTGATCACTGTTGTTTGGCCACTCACACACTCCAGCTCTGTCACCTGGAATACAAACCAAAAAAATCCTCACAACATGGTCAAAATTTATTTTCAGTAAATCAGATCATTTTATTTGAGCAGTGATACCCGTTTGTGTAGCCTCTCAGCTTCTTCCTGATAGGCTGCCAGCTGTTGTTTCCACTGTTTGACATTGGCCGTGGACTCGAGCAGAGCCGCCGTCAGCTTGGCGTTGTTGCCCTTAAGTGCCGCCAGCTCTGCCTCCCAGTGCTTATTGATGCTGGATGAACTGGGATGTGAGGAAGAGACAAGACTATCAGAAAAGCTGAAACCAACTATAGTCCCTTAACATTTAATAGAACAATGTGCAAAGCATTTTAGAAAACTTTAATTTCTACGTGGTTATAACTTTTTAAAAAGTTTTTCTGCTGCATTAATATCCCCTAAAGCACAGCTGACAAAACTATCTCCACTCATTTAGTGGTTTATAATTAATAGGAAGCATGCGTAGTGTTTTAATGTAATGCTTTAATGCTGTCCAGAGGCCCGGGGACCAGATTAATAATGAATGAATGAATCGACATGAGCTGCAGCGCTCTTTGCTGCACTGTGCCAATTTCATTTTAAATCAGCACTCAAGAGAGTCGCGAGCGGACAAGTAACTCTCTCATTTACACTCCTGAATGTGATCATTTCACAATGTGGAGGTGTCAACAATTAAAATGTTATTTAAAGGGGACCTATTATGCTTGTTTTCTGATTCATACTTGTATTCTTGGTTTTTACCTGAAAATGTGTACATGCTGTAATGTTCAAAAAACACTTTCTCCGTACTGTCTGTACTGGAACACTTGTATTCACCGTCTGTATTTGTATTTTGTTGAAACTGTTTTGAGGCACTAGTGTAGCTATTTTGGGATCTGGGCCAGGTTTAAGTTTTTCAAAACATAGCATATCTTTATTTGTTAGAGACACTAGTTGCAAGGTTACTGTTTAATTCGTGTTTTTGTTTTCACCAATTCAGGATAGTTAGAAAAAAACATCACCAAAATGTCTGATTTATATTGTTCCACCTTCCCTTTATGAGCTGGGTCATAACACTCAGTAAAAAAACGCCACTTTTCATGGCACTATAACGTTAGAAAAACACCAACAGGTCACTACAAAACACTCATGCTTGGTGGCTAAAAAGCTGCTGGAAACACAGCAATGACACACTAAAACACAACCAGTTTTGTTGTTTGTTGGTCTTGAGCAGTGGTCTGCAGTGGTCTGCAGCTATGGCAGCCGTCTCAGCTACATGTCACGTCATCCACCACCCACACTAGCTCAGGATAACGTCACTTTACAAATGTTGATAGGATATGTCTGAAAGTTGCTAATGTAACGTATTCTTGGTTTGTGGAAAAGCAAAATGTCAACATTGTCCTCTGGCAACTGGGCTGTGTTTCTGTGACGTTAGCATGTAGCTACATGTAGAAGTGTATGGTACATAATGTAAACACTTGCAGTGGCGTGCCTGGAGCAGATGACCATAAAAAGAAGTCCATAACAAGCTGACGGCCATCAACATCCGACACACATTTTATATATATATATATATATATAGACATATATGTATGAGGAAGACGATATTGGGTGATATTTGGTTGTCTTGCTTGTGGCTGGATCTGTTCTGTGTTAACCTGGCTCCCGTTTACCTGTGTGAGAAGGGCAGTGCATTCTGGGAAGGCTCTGCTCTAGGTTCAGTGTGCTGAGGTGTGTCTGGTGTGACTCTCTCATCATCTGTACCATTGATGCTCTCTGAGGTCAAGGGCGACTGCAGGTCACCTGGGGCCGACTCCTGTTCCAACACATTAGTGAAACATCAAAAAAATATTATTAGAAAAAAAAAAAAGACTGAAGCAACAGGTCAACATTTTGGGAGAAGTTTATTTGCTTTCATGCCGAGAAGATACTAAATATGAAGCTACAGCCAGGAGAGAGTTAGCTTAGCTTAGCATAAATACTGGAAACGGGTATACAGATAGCCTGCCTCTGTCCAAAGGTAACAAAGTCCCCCTACTAGACTAAACAAAAAACTTTTATCATGATCATAAGTCAGCTTTAGAGGTGCTGGTAGGTGGATTTTGTTACCTTTGGATAGTGCCAGGCAAGCTGTTTACCCTTCTTTCCAATCTTAATGCTAACTTAAGCTAAGTGGCTGCTGACTGTAGCTTCATATTTAATGCACAGGGAGCAGTATCAATCTTCTTATCTAACTCTTGGCAAGAAGACGAACATATTTCCTGAATGGCTGAACTATTCATATAAATGTGGATTAAGACACACAAACAAATCAAAAATCAATAAAGAGTTAATGATTCTGTGCTCTCAAAAACTAACAGTAATTTCTGTTGAAATGGAATTAGGGACGCTAAAAGCTTACAGACCCTTTTTGTGCCTGAGGTGCTGGTTGCTGGAGATCAGACATATTTCCACACACACATTTCAGAACTATGACTCCATTTTCTGAAGACACCATGTCTCCTTTTCATTTATCTATGTCTTATAATCATTGTCATTTGTGATCGGCACTGCTCAAACATCCCTAATTGTAGCAGACTGTCACTTTTTGAGAGCATGAAAGGAGAACTGGAGGGATATGTGGGATAAATTCACAGAGATGGGGTTCCTTTGGCTGTTAGTCTGACATAAAGATGATAGACAATGTTGTTAAAGACTGATGACTGGTTTCTGCTGAAAAAAAATGAGTACAGTGATAAGACTTGGCTTTACTGATATGCAGAAATCCATCACTGTGCTCTCATTGTTTAGAGAATAATTCTTTTTTTTTGCAAGACTACTGCCGGGGAGGGGGGGTAAAAGTAGGGGAAAAAGGGCCATCGGGGGCAGGTAAAAAATTCTTTCCATTTCTTTTTTACCTTCTTTTTACCAGGTTTGTTGACTGACAACACATTCCTTTTTACAGCGCCACCCTGAGGGGGATTCATGGGGAGGTAAAACAAGCCACAAGGTGTTAGCTTAGTGGCTTTAATGTGAGCATAATGCTGAGTGAAACATAAAACAGCTTAGTACAGGATTGCATTAATTTCTCATCAATTTCTAATTCTTCTAGGTTGGCTTTGGTGTCGCATGGGGTTTGTTACCAACATTATTAACATATTTACATTACATTAACACTGATTCTCAACAGAAAACATACTCACACTGTAAAACACATTAAACAAGAATGGCTGGGAGATTATAAGGAGATTAAAATGAAGAGTTTTGTGCTTTAAACTGCACAAAACACAGAAAGTAAAGTCTTTTAGCATCTAGACTCTGGTCAGTCCCATGAATTTCTTTTCATGATCCTATACAGGTCATAATGTTGTGTTGAACCCTGTATTGCCATAGTTTGTTATGAGTTGAAGTTCATGCGATGTCTCACAAATGTGAGACATCTGACTCTATTTTGATAGTTAACAGCAGTAAGTTCATACATTCTGACATTACTAATATAACACCCAGAATGTCTGTGCTTTTAACTTAAATTTAAGATAAATTTGCTTGTATGAGTGCTTTCAGCCCATCACACACAGGCCATTTCTCCCTACCTGTAGAGTAACTTTGTGTACTGTTGGTTTGCATTATCAATTCCACTACCTGCTAGTTCTTACTAGAAATTGTCATGTTTGCTAACTAGTGTCAACAGATGTCTATCAATGTGAGCTATGTGGTAAAACAGTTATGGTAATATGAGGATGAGTGCTGCATACAAATGTACCCCCAAAAAGTACTTGTTTCTAGCAGGTTGCTTTATTTCCCAACTCTAAAAACATCTACATCTATAAACTACCATGAGATTGCCATCCTTACAGGTATACTTTGCAGGATTTCATAAAACAAACAAAAACAAAAACAAAAAACCACCTTGTGGTTTTATGCCTCCGCGCACCGGTCAAGTTGCACTTAAAGTTTACACCCATGTCTGTGAAAATGTAGATGCTTCACACACATCTTTTCCCCGGGCAGCACAGAAGATCTATACAATCAGCACAGTTTCAAGGTGGACAATCAAGATTAGTGTCACAAATTCAGCATCTGACCAAATGTCTCCCCGTCTGTTCCTGAGTTATGACGTTTAGTAGTGGCCAGAAAAGTGTTTCTGCAGAACATTATGATGTCACAGTAAAGCTGACCTTTGACCTTTTGGACATAAATTTACAACACTTTATTATTATATCAAATTGAACACGTGTGAAATTTTGTCATGAGTAGCATATGAATTCTGGAGTTATGGCCAAACATGTTTTATGAGGTCAAAGTGACCTTGACCTTTGACCACCAAATTCTAATCGGTTCATTGTTGAGTTGAGAAATTCCCTCAAAGTGTTCTTGAGGCTCCGGAATCCGGAGACAGCACTGCATCAAACCTATGTAAAAGCACCAACAGAAAGTTTTTGGAATATGATTTTTGATATTATAGTTTAATAGGTTAATTGAAGTCTGGCTGTTCAATAAATTTGTTTTAAATTGCATTTGTTTCCTTTTCAATTTAAGTTCCTATTCTTGCATAAGATTTTTTTGTTACAAGTATTTAAGTTGTCTATAATATTTTAATACAAGTAGGCAAATTTGGAAGTTACCTAAAATGCCCATCCCTAGTATCAATTCATACAAAAGTAATCCCTCAATCCCTCTCAGTCATCACTTTTGACTGACCATAAGTGAGTGGCAGTGTATTTATCTGCAGAGACTCTGCCCTCTGCCTCTATATTTTTTTTTATTTTGCTGTGTTTGTGATGTTCCTAAGCACAGCATGCAGGTGAGGTCGGGATTTCATAAAAAGGTAGTGAGCAGGTGCCAGACTGTAAGCAACAGCACCTAAAAAACTGAAAGACAGTAAGGTAAAACGGCAAGTGGACAAAACTGAGGTTTGCTTTTACTTTCACTTGTTATACTGTTTACAAACAGTAACGAACAATTCCTGCATCGTATACCTTTAACACTTTTTAATCAGAATCCTGCCTATATGGTCAAGTTGTTTAACTGTACTTATTCTCTGTGTGTATATGTAACTGTCTATCTTCCTTGTAAATATACCAGTAATTTAGTTTCTCTTAATCCTTCCTTTAGTGCTACTTGTATATACTATGTTATGTTTTATTGGTTATTCTATTGTTTCATTCTATTCTAATTTGAATATTTGTTATGTATAGATTTTCTGTGTGTTCAGCATGGAGGGGGCTGTAACTGCGTCTCACTGTGCAATCCTGTATTGTATAATGACTATAAAGTTAAACCTTGAACCTTGAGGTTGACTTCTTCAAAGTATGCGAGAGGATGCAGTGGTGGTGATGGTGTTTGATACCTGAGAGGGAGTGCTGGTGAGCTCCATCTTCTCCTGAGACTTCTCTTTTGCTAACCGCGCTGCCTCCTTGAACTCGGCAAACTTTTCTGCAAACTAAAAATAACAGGAGCAAGTTACACTACAGTTCAACAACAACTTCCACGTTTTCAAGACAGAGTATACACACTTGGATCAAAATCAGAGGGGTGTACTAGGAAGCAAGATTTTTTGGGTAAGGTACGTTAAGCCTAAAATCAGAGTTTTCAGCGTTACAGAGGTGGCTCTCCTTTAATTAGGCTAGGTTGCCATGGTAACTTATGTTGCATGTCTACACTTGTCCAGACCAATTTATGTTCTGAGTATTGCAGTGAAATCAGCTATCGGTGTCACCACTGTTGCAAAATCCCATGGACCGTGGTGCCAGAACTATGAGAGGTTCACTTCAGAGGAAGAGTGTTTGAAGACCAAATAGATGCATTGGCTTTTTCATGACAATATTCTCTAAGAGCGACACAGATTTCCAGCTAAGGCGATATGTTATAAATGCAAACGTGTTGAGCCGCATGTTATTAATGCCACAGTAATGATGCAAAACATCTGAGAAAAAAATGGTTTATTTTATTTGCAAGGTTGTTCTTGCTTTCACTGAACTACTTAATATGTTGATATTGTTTTCTGGTCCATGCTGGCTTTAAAAGAAACCTTGTATAAAATCACAGGTAGCATACTTTAATAGTTCACTATGTTATTTATCAGGATGACCTTTACTTGCATATGAAATGTGGTAGAATTTCTTCAAACCAAACCACAACGTTACCACTTTGAATTATGTTTTTATGTTTGGTCTTGATTTGCTGAAGTCCATTTAACACTGCTAGTATATATGACGTATTACAACTAATAGAACACCAATTAGACAACTGATTAGTTTACTGGTATTTGTCACATATAAAATCCTCACATATAAAATCCGATCAATAAAATAAATTTACCTTGATTTGGCCAAGAACTTAAGTGATTTCCATCCGTCCTTCATTATGGGTCAGTGTCAATATAGCCAATGTAAGTGCAGTTCTTGAGTGTAACATTTAAATCTGCTGCATCAAGTGTAAAGTTTAAGAGCTGTAGAATGTGCAGCTGTCATGTTAGAGAAAAAACAGAGTGGTAATATAAATATATTCACTTTTCTGTGAGCATCCCTCTCTTGCCTTATTTGCAGCAGCAGTGTTGTTTTTGCTGTAATAAGTTTTTCATATTCTTCATAGGCTTAAGTAGGCGGCACATGATCGATCCAAGAGTCAAACCAAACACCCTCTTTTTCAGGAGCGTGCACAGAGCCTGAGGAAGAAGGCCTGGGTTAACAAAGGCAGTTGATAACCACCTGTTATGTCTGACTGGGTTTTTAGGCTTTGTCAATCCAGCTAAGGCAAAGAAATCCTGGCTCTGTCCAGCTTGCTTTGTGGTAAACCCTTATGGATTCCACTGTGGGTCCAAGCGTTCTCACCTTTACCAGGTTGCTCTCAGATGAGAAGCCGAGGCCGTAGACTGTGTTCGCCCGACTGTCGGCCCACTGTCCAAACTTTTGCGACGTCTTGGTGAATGTCATATTGGGGGTGATGGTGCTGTTGATAATGGCCTGTGGAGGAAAAAATACATTCAAAAAGTTAAAATGAAAATTTTGTTTGTTGAAGCCCCATTTATTCAGTTAACAGCTGTTAGTGGGGCCGGCTGTCGTTTGGTGAGAGCAGCTAAATGTCCTGACATCTACTGGGACGTGGTGGTAGTGTGAGTGTGTGTGTCATGTATAGACTGGGGTTTGTATTTGCACTGTTTGGTAAACAGGAAGTAGTCAATGAAGAGTTCTTAAGTGAGTCCAACCGCCTGTCATGTTATTGATCAGTGTGGGAGGACTCACTGGCAGAGCTGGGAGAGAGGCGAGCACTGATGGTCATGAGAAAAAAATAAAATTTACCATTAAGATGCCTTTAAGAGTTTATTCTTGACATTAGAAACAGATCTCAACTCAAGGTCCGCCAACTTACTTTTCTGAAGCTTTTAACTGACTCTCATCAGCAGATTTACTTTTCTTATCTGCCATGAAACTGTAGATATCCAAGCTTTCTTCCAGTGCTTTTCATCTGCTTAGAAGTTGAGCTTGAGGAAACAGTAAATGAAAACATGGTCAAAAGCTCCAGAACAAGTGAGTAAGAGGACCCTGAGTTCAGACCTTTATATCACATATCTTTAAAGACGAACTCTAACACCCACTGAAAATGTCTAATCTGGGGCGACCTCTGACTCCGCAGGTGGAGTGTGCGCATCACATAAGCTTAGTCATTACCAACGGCCCAGGTTTGATTCCAACCAGCAGCCCTTTGCTGCATGTCATCCTCATTCTCTCTCCACCCTCTCCTGTCACTCTAAATGGGCTTTCACAGTACTGCATGGTAAATCGCTGCCTCCAGTCATTTTAATGAGGGGAGGGTAGCACAGAGGAAGCGGGTATCAGCACAGCGGTAGGGGTATGAAGCAGTTGCTGCCCATATGCACACTAGGGTTGGGTACCGAAACTCGGTACTTTTTGTACTTGGTACCGATTTACGTCGGTACTACCGAGTACCGATTCACTTAAAATGAATCGGTGCCAAATTTCGGTACCTGAAGTGGAGGCGGAGCGAGAGCGCATGACTCGCACCTCAGACTCAGTAACACTGGTGACAAAAAAAATGTGCAGACAAAAGTTAACATGCAGCACTGTTCCTAAATGTTCTCAATAAAATGTTGAAACTGAGAAGTTTAGACTATGGGCCCGAACGATGCATAGTGCAATCCAATGTTTTCACAGCGAAAAAAATTGATGAAGTTTCAATAAAATGATGTATAACAGAGCTTTCATACAGCTTTGCACACACATTACTGTTGGATGGATTACTCGCGAACGCAGGCTTGCACAGAAATGCCGCGCATATCACATGAAAGCGCAGGACCACACACATCATTGTGCTGTCATCCCATCACGCTATAAATCCAGATCAATTGTCTATAAAATAAAAACCTGACAAATTTCTTTACAATCCATTATACAGATCTTATTATCAGTCACTTCATATAGTGAGGAATATCGTATCTTACCACGTCTTAAGCTTGCGTGTGTTTCTCCCTGTCTATCCACATTTGTAGTCCAGCTTTCAAGATGCAAATATCTCCATATTGTCCAGTTGACACTCCATCAAACTTTGTATGACAAGACCAGCCACTTCACCTTTGCGCACCCAGACAACTGCAGCCTAATTATGCATGCTGACAGGGCCGTAGTCACCATGTACATTGAGGGGGACACGTGCCCCCCCACCAATGCCCAAAATTATCCCCCCAATATATAACTGAAACTGAAAAACAAATATTATCTTGGAGGACATCATTGCACTTGGTTGACTATTTTTCTATTATCTTAGATGTAAATATTGCATGTTTCTTTCAGATAAAACACATTTTTGACTTGTGAATGAGTCAGTGGAATTTCTTGCAATAATGAAAAAATACTGGCAATCATGTCGGCCTGGCACAAACCACATGTTTTGGACAGCTGTGAAGTGACAGAATGTCCCAGCATCATGGTTCTTATATTGCCAGATTCCAGAGAGTCTCCCCTCTTCATATATGGCAGAATATGTCAACTTCCAACTTGCTATGGTGAGGTACATATAAAAATGTAAGAATTTAGGCACACGGATTTGTTTTTTTCATTGATATAAAAATTAATATAAAATACAGGCACATAGAAGGACATGAAATGATGGCAAATCTGGTTAGCCCAGATTGTCCTGAAAAAAAAAAAACCAAACAAGATATAGCATGTGTATGTAGCCTTTATAATGACTGTGATATGAGCTTAAAAGTAAAAGCAGTAAAAAATACCCCAAAAAGGCCTAGAGCCCATAGGGTTAAAAAGTACTGAAATAAGGTACCGTTTGGTATCGGTACCGAATTCCAGATACCGGTACCGGTACTGTATCGGTTCAGTTATGAACGGTACCCAACCCTAATGCACACGGATAGATTTTGTTTTGCTGTGCTGAGTTCACCATGTTGAACGTCTGGCGGTTGTTGCCTGCCCCATAAGCCTTCCCAACTGACTAATTGGCAGGCATCACAGAAGAACAAAGCAGGACTTCAGATGACTGGTAAATTGTCCAAATATGTAGGAAAAAAAAGCTGACCTCTTCTAATTTTACTTCTCACCTCGCTGTAGTGATATACAGATGTACTCTGTGACATCACTCTTGGATATGGTGTAAAAGAGGACAATCAAATACTGCTTATCAGTCTGTTGTTAAGTTACTCTTTAATATATATTTTATATGCAAGTAGCTTGGCTCTACCCATCCTGAAAAAAAGCTGACAGAACAAAGCAATTCTGTACAAAATTTCCTCACAAATTTGACAGATCTTGTGAAATAATTAGCTGTGACGAGAGAGATTCACAAATTTGACAAAAAAATCTGCAATCGAAAAAGTACACTGACTGAAAACTGGCAAAACTGTACGTATGCAGTCGTAAAGATTAAAAAAGTGATTGGTGGATCTGACTGAGAAGCTGAGCACACTAATAGCAGACTGTCACTCAAAGCAGCCCGCCCTTAATTAGAATTACAAAGAAATTCACTCCCCATACAGTCGCCATGAATGTTGAAATTAACTACTGAGACCAAAACCATTTTCTGTACCAATGTGAACATGTTTATTTCCGCTGTTAAAGTTTGTCATTTCAACATGGTGATCTAAGTAGACTGGCTGGCTTCTGGGGTCAGCCTCAAGTGGTCATTCAAAGAACTGCAGTTGTTGGCACATCCACATTGGCTTAATTTTTCCGCCCCAGAGGTTGACGCTTGCTTATGACCAACTAGAAGAGTGCGGCAGGGTATTTATGTGCAGAGATTCTGCCCTCTGCCTGGATTTTCTTATTTACCTCTTACGTTGCTGTGGTCGGGACAATTATGGGCTGCAACTTTTGGGCCAGTGTTGTAGCCTCCAGCTAATAACAGCATGTAGGTGAAGGTGATGTAGTGGTAACTGATGAGATGGATGTGCTATAAGGCAGATGGGTAGGTTACTGAGGAGGAAGCGGGTATACTCCCCTATAGATTCCAATGGGTTTTTTTGCTGATGGGTGGGCATACAGTAAACTGCCAGAAAAAGAGGTAGTTATAACCCCTATACCCACGTATACCCTCCACTACACCACTGCAAGGTCAGGACTATAAAAAGGCAGTGACCAGCTGTCACACCGTAAACAGCACACATTCATGGAGGCCACAAAAATTGCACACATAGTGCCAAAAAAACCCTGCAAATATAGTAAGGCAAAGCGTCAAGTGGATAAAGCACATCCCACTGGAGTGAAATTGGGGTTTGCTTTCGTTTCAGCTGGCAAACACTGGGGGAGAATTTGGTGATGAAGAGTGATGCAGAGTTGACCTGTGTTCTGTGTGACAGGTAGGTCCTAGTAGTAAGCTGAAATATCATCTCTTCAATTACAACAAAAGTTCCTACAATACTAGCTTGCAGTGTATGTACAAACAGTGTAGGGAGGAGGGTCCAAGTTTGTGGTGTTGAGGTCTTTAATGTAGTTTAGTACAGTTGTTCCCAACCATGGGGTCACAAGACAAATCTGACATGTTATAAGAAAATTAACAAAAGGGCAAAGCAGAAGAGTTTAGACTTCCCTCTGTCATTTTGCCTTGGAAAGGATGAAATACTTTTACTTTTTGAGGGAAAACAAATCTAGTCAACAAGGACAACAATCAGTCTTTGATTCAACTCAACACAACTGGTAGGTTTTGTTTAGTTTTAAGGGTTCACAACTTTAAACTGGACTTTCTGAAATATTTTCAAGTCTTTCTCACAAGTTTTCTCACTTCTGGAATTTGGAAAGAAACACAACCAGAAAGATGTTTCATTGTGTGGCATCTGTCTCTGTTTGTTTTCTTTTTCTCTGCTGAGAAGACTTATTGTTTGTCTGGATAATAACGTCCTCCAGCACCAACCCACCCAATCTCTGCTATTTCCAGCAGAACACAGCAAAAACTCTCTGGTTCAACAACAACAGCAGTAGTCACCCAGAGAGGCTCTTACATAACTATGCTAACTCCACCCCTGCACCTCTCTCCAGACTAAAATAATCACTGCCACATAGATATGACAGGCTCGACCGCCTCCTTCACTGCCTCAGCACAGAGACAGGCCAGGCTGAGGCGAGTTGGGGGTAGAGGTGGGATATATTTACAAAATCAAATGTGGTAATGGCACTGGACAAGTTAAGTTGGACTGAGACCTCTCTGGAGCTCCATGAAGGATTGAAATAACACACAGACATAAATATACTAACACTTTACTGAGTGCGATATTCACACACACCTTAGATCCATCCAGACTGATGATTCGATATACATTCCTGGTGCTGTCGAAGAAGTAGGAGACGGTGACAGCATGTTTACTGGTGGGAACCCAATTCTTCTTGGTGTTTGGGTCAATCTGGAAGACGTGGGCCCGTGTACTGAAGATGGGCTGCTCTCTGTGGAAGAAACAGAGGGGGGAAAGGAGGGAAAGATGGTGCAATCAGTATCTGGTACAAGGCCTCAACTCTGAGATCCCTAAATTAGCAATTTGTAACTGAATACTGGGCCATGTGGACAACAACTTAGCTGTGGTTACACCAAAATATGTAGATAAAACAATACACACGTCAATAACCACTGCAGCTACATCAACAATTCAGCAAATGAATATGCTGAAGTAGAAAAGGAACGATTCCAAAAGACAAAAATGCTAAATCTGCAAGCAGGGAATAAACACTGGACCATTGCTATACATCATTCAAAGGCAGCTGCAGAGCAGAGTCACTGTATAGATTTGGGGAAGAGCACCCATGTAACAATCTTTTTTATGTCAAGAAACACATTACAGCGCATACCTCCACTGACACTAGATATGGAACCAATCAGAGTCTGAAGAAGCACATTCCAGTACACCACTCTTAACGTCACAGATGACATAAATAAATTTACTGAGTCTATGGAGTATTTAAATTGTAAAATAACAGAAGCAACTCTACCAAAAACTAAAGTTAAATCATTCCACAACCAGAAACCATGGATTACCAGAACCACACATAGACAATTGTAAAGCACTACCAAACAATCTAAGAAGAGGCAAAAAAAGGAGTAAATCACAATGGACAAGTTGAACAAGCTTACAGGATCACATTTCATTGGAGTTGTGCCTTGTATGACCATATGTGACAAGACAAATAAATAAATCATTGAATGATGACAACCCTAACAAGCTGATGTTTAGTGGGAATAGTAAACATTTTCTCTAGCTTAGTTTAGCTTGTTAGCATGCTAACATGTGCTTATTAGCAACAAGTACAGCTGAGGCTAAAGAATTGGTCATTTTGCAGAAATTTGGTCATAAACCAAATTTCTGGACAAACAACTTTTTGACCAGATGATAGCACTGTAATTCATCCTCAGGGGGACATGAATATGTGCACCAAATTTCATAGCAATCCATCAAACAGTTGGCCATACTTTTCACTAAAAACAAAAATGTGAATCTCATGTTGGTGCTAGAGGAAAGGTCTGGGGATCACCAATGTCAGTAGACTTCATCCTCTAGGGGGACATGAATGGCTGTACAAATTTCATTTCTAATAGTTGTAGGAACAAAGGTGGGGACCGATTGCCAATCTTACAATTCCTTGAGCCACGGTGCTAACATGGCTAAGAGACACAAAAGCAAACAAGTGAATAAAGCTGCACATCAAATATCTAACACTGTCCTGGCAAAAGAAAGGAAGTGAAAGTATTGAGGAATGTTAGGAATCAGAGGAAGGTGAGAGAAACAGCCTCTCAGGTCCCAGCACATCCATAATTCACCAGCCTTCTGTGTTGCTGCACTACCAGTGACTGGACGAGGGTAAAAAAAAAAAACACATCCACTAGGCCTTCATACCAAGAACAAGAGTGTTTATATAAAAACGTACAGGCTTCCTCTTCACATGTGGTGAAAGGTGTAAAGTAGCACACAAGGGCAGATAGTAAACATACTTTACTTTGTATATGCAAAAAATGACTTGGTAGGATTAACAAAATAAAGAGTGTCTATGAATATTAAAATGTGCAAATCACAAATAAATTCCAAATCATTCCAGGATCACTTCATTACTTGGAGTTAATGGACCTTTGCAGCCAGCGGGTGTTGAAGTCATTACAACGGATTTATGTTCGAAATAAAGCTTGACAAAATAATGTCATAGAAAACAATCATAATGCTCAGGATTAAGGCGACCTGAATGAATTTACTGAATTTACTCTGCTAGAAGACTGCAGCATTACACACAACACTCATGTATTTTGGGTGTGTCAGAAAATCAGTGTCAGAACCAGTAAAGGTTTACTGCCAAGTAGGTTTTCACATCCAAGGAATTTGCTTTGGTAATTTGGTGCATAACAGTCACAAAAAATAGTAAGAGAAATCAAAAAACAAGTACTGGAAAAGTCAAGAATTACAACTATCAAATTTAGAGTAAAATATATTGGAAATGTATTGTATTGTGATGATGTAAAGGAAGGTAGGTAGGTAGGTAGGTATAGATAGATAGATAGATAGATAGATAGATAGATAGATACTTTACTTTTCTTTACTTTACTTTACTTTACAAGACAAAACTACCATCCAACTGTGAGAGAGCTAAAAAAAATGTGCAAAGATCTTGGTCCATACAGCGTTAGTGAAAACAAAGGCTTTTTTTATATGCTTAAAACACTTTGTCGGTATGTGACTCCGTCCAGACATCTCTTCACTGACACACCCATAATCATGCTCTACAGAGAAGTGAAGCATAAAGTTGAGGAATCTGAGTACAGCAGGAAGGGAGGCATGAACTTTTGATGCCCGGACATCAAGGTCAAAGGATTCATATGAGACTATAATGGCACATTATCTCACAGAGGACTGGCAACTGCTGTCTCACATTCTCCAAACTAGAGTAGTGCACCAAAGTCACACCACAGCAAAGTCAGATGAACAGACTGAAAACTTCATCTTATGAGTTCTTCTTTGGGGAAATCATTTGCAGTTGAGAAAAAGGTAATAAATTACAATATATTGCAAAATATTATATCCCAAATTCTTCGCAATATCGCTATAATATCGTATTGTGACCAAAGTATCATGATAATATCGTATCGAGTCCTGTGGCGATTCCCACCCCTACTATCGAGTCAGATTAATGTATCGTTACACCCCTATTTTCTACCAATGAATTGTTGTTTGCTATGTTTAGGTAGCATGACACAGGGAAATGTACAACATTAGGGCCAATATCCTCTTTAGGTTCTATTAGCAGGGACCAAGAAGGCAAACCCTTACTCTAGGGAAGCACTGGACATCATTAAAGAGATAAATGATATGTAAAGGCTCTCGTGTTTTGAGGATTCTGGGGAAGTGAGACTGTATCACAACTTGAATCACATGTAGACACGCATTCTAGTGCAGGTGTGGACATACTTGGAACTGTCCACCTGTGATCTGATCATCCATGACATGTTAATACCAGGTGTAAACAGACGTTTTTCTGAAGCAGCAGTGACATTTGAAACTTCAGCCATTGTAAACATTTTTAATAACATGAAACGCAATAAAATGTTTGTTAAAAAAGAAATTCTTGCATCTAATAAACATCAAGCAATAACTCTGACATTGATGTTGAAAATGGGAAAGAATAACTGTAAAAAGTTATAGGGGAAAAAAACTGAGAGTAAGAAATGCAGAATGTAACCTGGATACAGGAGAGAAATGAAGCAGACAGAGACAGAGATGGGGGCGTCTTTCTTTAAACCAACTGCTTCATGTGTGGGCAGTTAAGATAAAAATCAAGCAGGAATAATGCATTTTTTAAAAGCAGCAAAAGAAAGAAAGGGCAGATATGCTAATTCCACTTCTACTTTTAAAATAACAAGAGCTGAACAATGTGGTAGAGCCCACACAGACCTGGACAACCATCAGCAACTGTACTGCTGCAGAGATGATGGACAACTCAAAGGCCCAAGGTATAGAGAGAGGCAGGGCTCGACAGTGCAAGCGTTTCACTCGCGTTTGCGACTAAAAATAGGTGTGCGCGAACTCTAAAAAATATTTAGGGGCACATGTGCGCATAAAAAAAAATCAGCCGAAGCAGCCTATATTTTTGTCAATAAAAAAATATTATAATCTAACCGCAAATATTGGAGGAACTCCAGCCACCTTCCCTCTTCCCCATGTGACACGGTTATGGGCGGTTTTCCAAGCCACTGTCGGCACAATGAATATAAGTCCCACTGTCGGCAGGGTGGAAATAAGTCAAAGTGTGGCAGAGACGAGGGACTGGGAAAAGCGGCGGACCTCCAGGGAAGCCTGCTCCATTCTCCCTGCAGTTAGGGACCGTTCGCCACGGTACCGCTGCTGGGCAGGGTGGAAATAAGTCCTGCAGAGTTTCAGAGGACCTGCAGAATGTTTTAGGATAGTAATAACATTATATAAGATAGTCATATTGCAAAGATAATATATATAAGATAATAACATTAAAGACAAAATTAAATTGCAATACTTTTTCAAAACTTGATGATTTTATCTTTCTGTACATTTTGTATACAAATTCATTAAATAATTTTGCTTGTAAATGTCTATTTGCATCACGTTTATTACGGAAAACACATTATTTGATCAATTTACATTGTGCCCCTAAAGTTCTTTGTGCGCTCCTTACTTTTTCAACTTAGGAGCACATGTGCTCCTTGGGAAAAAAGTTAACGTCAAGCCCTAAGAGGTCTACATGCTTCTCTTTGATGGTGGAGCTGCTGAGCAACTTGCATGACAAAGCGGGGATTAGACTAATTGAAAAAACCACAGGTTGATTAATTGGACACAATCACGTGGATCAGATCGATATTGTGGAGAGAGTTGGTACACGGCCATATTTGTTTGGCTGGTGTAGCTGTGGAGACACTATCTGTGTTCACCTGTCACAGAGGTGGCTCAAAAGTGACATGCTCGAATGATTTGGCTAGACAAAAGCAGCAAGGTGTTACATTCGAGGCCTCGTATGTGTGAGTGTGTCTAGGCTAGAGCTGAGCAGCAGGGCGAACACTGACGTAGAGACAGTGAAGCAATGCCAAAGGTGACCTGGAAGCACCTGTGCCAACATACAGAGATCAGCAGGCTCTGGACGGCTTCCAAACGTTGCTATGGATGGAAAGCTCCCAGGGTATTGGATTAAAAGCAAAACAAGCTGTAACTGTCTGGTTGTAACTGGTCTGAATGCTCCACAACAAATCCACAACAAACTAAGAGCAGATTTATGTCTGGAGATGTCCAGACTCTGTTTGGAAATGTCCCAGTCTGTCATTTTTCCTTCAAAAATATCAAACTGTGGGACTGATGACCTGCTCCAGCTCAAAAGAAGGATAGATTGTAAATAAATGTAAAGGAGGATATAACAGATTTGGCATAATTGTCAAATTTTGCAATGTA